TGCGTGCACGATTGTGACACAACAGGACCTCGGGGCCGACCGTTGTTCGACGGAACTAGAACGGCAGCCGGAGCCTTGACTTGGGCTCCACCGATGGTCTTGGACAGCTCTGGGCGACGGCCCACTGTTGTTGTGGATCGATCGCTGAGGCCCCGTAGCTTGTGCTGAACGGCCAACACCGGCAAAGCCTGTGCGCCGCAGCTAGCTTCTGCCCTCCTTTAATTAGCCGCCATGTTTCACCGCTGTTTTTGTTTGTTTGTTGGTTTGTCTGTTTGTAGGGACCGAGTGCTACAGCTGTAGTCGACGAGGCCCGCTCACGCCAAAAAACGTTCTTTTCTGCTGGAATTCGACGGCTTGACCAAGTGGAACTGCGCTGTGTGCCATTCTTTTGCAGTTGGTTTGATTCTGCACAAAAGCAGTGTGTCACTGTCCAGCCATATGGATGACACCTATGCATGACCTATGAGCCATTGCTCGACCCCGAGGCTTTGATTTGCATTTTCTTGGCCATCGACCCAGGATTGCGGGAAGCGCGGTCTTTTTTTGTTCTTCTATCACTTTGAACATTGACAGCAAGTTATGTCTCACCTCTTTGCTTTTGTTTTGTTTTGCGCAGGTGACTGAAGTGCTCTGAAGTGCAGTGACGTTTGAGATGTGTTCAAGTCAAGCAGTAGAGAAAGCTTATTCGATAGCGGAAATATGACTCCTGCGGACTGCGGTATTCGGTTTCATAGCGCTCAGTGCGCCGCCCTTGCGAGACCTACATGTTGGGAAGCTGGGCTGGACCTGTGCAATTCTTGACCCTTGCGATGCCTACCATAGGGAAGCTGGGTCTGGTATGACTGATGTGCGAAGAATGGGCTGGTTTGTCTTTGTGCGGTCCCTCTGTTTCATTGTGCCTGCACTGGATCGCCCTAGCGAGATCCACACTGCGGGACTCTTGCTACTGTGAAGCCGGGCCGCTCTTCCGCCACGCATCGGCCATGAAGCGTGGTTGATGGATACACGGGCTTTTTCATGGAGCCAATGTGCGTGTCCCTGCAAACGCGGCTGCGACCGCCTCTACCGGTCTGCTGCACTTATGTGTATGTCTCATTAATAATCACTGACACGGCTCGCCCCTGGTGCACGTACGGTGCGAGGCTTTCCTTACGGACAGTTGATCGTGGGCAATTTTGCAATGATCTGAGCCCCGTCTGCTCCTAAGAACACTCTCAAGCGCTACTGTCATCCATTGGCCCTGCGTGCTCATACTGGAAAGCTGGACCTGGTTCTTTCTTGACCCTTGCGATGCCCACCATTGGGAAGCTGGGTCCATCCGACTGATGCGCCAAGAATGAGCTGGCTTGCACCTGCACGGCCTCTTCCTTTCATTGCGACCGCACTGGGCCACCTCTGCGAGATCCACATTGCGAGATCCTGGCTAATGATTGTTCTTCCGCCATGCACATTGGCTATGAGGCGTGCTGGTTGATGGACGCATGTTTCAAGCTGCTCTTTCGGGAAAAAGACATCTGAGAGAAGCTACCCCTGAACGATCCCTGCTGGCTAAGTCTGCAAGTCGCGGCCTGTTTCACCCGTTAGGTTCTTCTGTATAGCTTCTTTTGATTTCTTACAGTGCTTGTAGTTCTTACTGGGGCCGAGTGCAGCAACTGCTGTCTGTGAGGCCCGCCCACGCCAAAAAAAGCAGTAGAGAAAGCTTCCTTGACAGAGAAAGGTTGTGACTGACAACTCGTTCGGCGGGCTGCTTTCGTCAAAAGGTTCCAGGCAACTGTGCGTCGGAAAGCTTGTTGCTCATGCAAAGCAGCATTGCCCGGAACTTGGCGCCTCGGCTGCTGGTAGCTCCTTGCTAGTGTCCACGGCGAACATGCCGCTCGTCTAACGCTCCTTGGGGTGCCAAGGTCAGACGCAAAGAGGCACACACCGTGCCCTGGACAACACATTGGCACTTAAGAAAATCGAGTGTTGCTGGAGGGATAAGTAGAGAATGAAAGTCTCAGCACGGTGCCATCTCGTTTGTTTGATTCTCTGCAAACCTTGTTGCCAACTGTGCTTCCTCCTTTGGTCCGCAGCCTCTTCAAACTACATAGATTTTTGGAGAGTCTTTGAACTCTAAGTTCGCAACTCTGTGTTTCGAACTCAGACTTTCCGTGCTGTCCGTTGTCCGGACGGAAACAGCTGCTGGAGCCTTGTTTTGGGCTCCACTCGTTGTTTTTGGCGACTTTGGACGACGGTCGACTGTTGCTTTAGCCAGAGGTCGCTGAGCGCGAGGCTCCCTTTTTCTTGCTGAACAGCTACTGCTGACAAAGTCCGCACGCTGCAGCACGTACGTAACCTCGTCCTCTGGTGCGACGTTTCACCGCTGTCTTTTTGTGTTTTGTTTCGGGATTGTTGTTGTTGTTTACTGGGACCGAGTGCTGCAGCTGCAGCCACCGAGGCCCGCTGACGCCAAAAAATAGTAAGTTTAATAGACCATCTCGAAACTGGGTGGCCTGCTGATAGTTTGTGTGTATCGCGGCATGGTCGACGAATGTTGAACTAGGACCGAATGGTAGCAACAAACCCCATAATCTAGCTGTGTTTCAACTTCTGTCCAGCTGCTGAGCGTCTTGGTCACGAAAAGCGTAGCTCCTGCTAGCGCATGTTTGGGTTATGTTGTTTCTTGTGCTATCATTGCTTGTGGTCCTCGTAGTTTTGTCTTGGCCGTGGTGGGAAGTTCTCCTCTGGGTTGTTCTGATGGAAAGAAGTGGTGGTCGTAGTGGTTTTGCTGGATTTTCCTTCGACTATAATTTCACTGCACCGTCTCGGCCAGCAAGCAGTTTTGAAGGTTGTCATGCCATAGCAATGACAAGCTCATGGCTGGAATTCGCTCGCAAGGCAGTGAGTGAACCAGCCGTCATAACATTGTTTGAAAGAGGAGACCTTTGAGTGCAAAACGTCGAAAATCATGTGTGCTGTTTCATCGGTGGTGTTTTCTAGCCTAGGCCGCCAATGTCTCAAGAATTTGATAGCATATTCCAAAGCCGTTGAACGTGAGCAGTGTTCCAATTTTGGATGTCGACGAGGTTTTGTTTTTTTGCATTTTTGCTTGTGCATGAAGAAGCTGTATCCGGCGAGTTTTCCGTGGTATTGCATGCCATGCTCTAAGTCAGGCAGACAGCATTTCGAAATGATGTCCACACGCACACCCCGAGGCTGACCGGCATCTGTTGCCATCATGGGCTGTGGACCATCCTCTGAGGCTGGCTCTTTGACGATGGTGCTTCTAGAAGTGCTGCAAGTTTCCATTGTTGCTGTCATAACCAAACAGTGGCCAAAAGCGTTGGTGCTTGCAGGCCAATGAGCAGTTCGTGCGCTTGGTCTTCACGACACAGCCCTTGACGGAATGCATGTGTTGCAGGATTCTCAGGTTGCCGATGGAGCGGTCCCCTTTTTGTGGCTCCGAGCTCCCTGAGCACCTAGGCCCAGGGTTGAAGCAGGTGAACGGCATGATTCCGAGCTGGTTGCCCCAGGCAAGCTACTCCAGGACCTAAATCCGAGAATCGACGCGAGACTTTTTGGTAACATGCCCAACATCCAGGAATCGAAAAGACGGTAGTCATCACAGGGAGTGTGCAAGTGCTTGGTTGCTGTAGTATCGTGTTCGAAAAGGTCGCAAGTACTGTCCAAGCTCAGGGCGCAGCAAAGCTGCAGTCCTTTTTGGGATTGTGAGCAACGGCCACCTGCCGTGAAGGATCTTGGAGATCTGCGCTCCATACCACGCCTGGATTTACTGCCAGGCCTTGGGGGCAGCAGGGGCTTGGAAAACTCTGCATGGCTGTGGAAATGTATGTTGAGGGCATGTGGGTGGCATGCTTATTGCTCTGCCAAGATGGACTGCTGTGGCTCGCCAGTGTGCGAGAACCCCTTCGAGCAGGCTCGGCAAGACTGTGGAGATAGCCCAGGGTTGAAGGGAGTCTTAGCTGCACGCGGGGTTCGCACGGAGCTCAGGCAAATGCTCCGCTGCAGCAGCTCAAGAAGGCTCTCGCTTTGTGCGTCAGCAAGCCGAAACTGGAGTCTTACAGAGTGTCCACTACCGTCCCGTCGTGGCATCTCTGACTTCAGGAGCTGCCCAGCTACAACTTTGGCTTCTCTGCAGACGCTCGGATTTTGTCAGACTGCCGTTCGAACTGTTGTTGGCCATCAGTCAGAACTTGTTCAAAGACTGCAATCTTTCAGAGGAGTGGATCGGCTTCGGAAAGAATGCCAACTGGCAACACGTTCTGGAAATCCGGCCGGGCATGGCGGTGGGACAAGTTGTCGGGATCGAGGCAGGGGCAAAGCAGTTGTGTGCTTCTCCCATCCCTAAGTCACAATTCCGTCTCGAGGCACCGGCCCAAGGCAACATGTGAGATAGTGCGAGACTGTCTGCATGCTGCTCAGCTTTACGCCCTTTAGGCCTTTGGGCAGTGGTGCAGGGATTCTCGTGACACGGTGAGCATTCAGGGACGTTTTGAAAGATTCTGCTGAGCATGGGCTTTCCGGTGTCAGTGGGTGCAATCCCTGTACGAGCCCAGAGCGGTGAGTGCTCGGCCACCCGATCTCGCCCGTGGCTAAACCATGTATGGCTTGAGATTTGCGAGAAGCTGAGGCGCACGCAGCATTCCGTCGTTTGTATGTGGGGCTGAAGAACCTGCTGCAAACCTCCTCCCCTCCCCAGCGCCCAAACAATCCAAACTCCGATATTGCAGCCATAAAGCAGCAAAAGGCCTCCGCAAGCATTTGGAGCAAGAGGATGGGGTTTGGTGGCATTGCAAATGGAGCCTGTGTGTCATGCCTCGCGATGCCGCATTCTGAAGCATTGTAGCTCGCCACTGATTGAGACACAGCGAAGCTGTCTCTCAAACCGAACTCGCGGGGTGGGATGCTGGTTGCAGCTGGACCTTGCCCATGAGAAAAGAGCTTGAAGTTGCTCCAACTTTTCCAGTGCATCTGAAGACTGGCGAAGCAGGACGAGGCTCATGGCAGTCTCTTTGGCTGTGAGGTCAGTAGAGCTACAGGTTCCAGTTTTTTCGTAGTCCACTTGAGATACTCACAAGCCGAATCAAGTCCCAGACCACAGACGCGCACATCTCCCGAAAGAAAATCCTGGCATGCCCCACCGCCAGAGGCTTCCGGGAGTTTCCAGCTTCAGAGTGTTCTCTTCATAGGCATGGCAACATAGCACGGTGTCCCCATGTGAAGCAGTCTCCGAGCGCCACGGATCGGCCACTGCGGCCGCCGAGGGCTGGGGCCCATCCCATGACCATCGAAATGACCCCAAAGCGCGACCAGCAGGACCTTTCAAGTCTCCAAACATACCCCAAAACATCCTGCATGAAAACCGAAGCGTCCTGAAGAGACAGGCAGAGTCCACGAATGGACAAACGGAGAGCTGGTGGAGGCGGCGGGCTCCGGAGCGCTGCGACCGGAGCTGTGCACATCTCAGGCGATGGCTACTGCGGGTCCTCGGCATCATAGCTGCGGAGTTCTGGCAGCACCGGCGGGTGTTTCCGCTGGCGCTGGCGCAGATGATGCTGGTTGCGGACCAGCCGCTGCTGCCTACCAACATGTCTGCTGTGGCCGAGGAGTTCGGTTTCGACGCAGCTGAGAGGGACGAGAAGCTCGGAGGAGTCGTCAGCGTAGTCTTCTTCACCTTTGGAGCCCTCTTCTCGCTGCTGGTCGGGCATCTCGCAGACCGCATGCGCCGGACGACCCTGGTTTGCCTGTGCATGCTGCTAGGTTCCAGCGGCACCTTCGCGAACTCGCAGGTCCAGGGCTTTCGGGCCTTGCTCTGCTGCCGGGCTGCGGTGGGTGCCGCCACAGGCGGTCTGATCCCTGCCAGCTTCGCTTTGATCGGGGACATGTACTCGGCGGAAGAGCGGCCGCACGCCATTGGCATGGTCTCCATCATCTCCGGTCTGGGCCTCTCTGTCGGACAAGCACTCGCTGGCTTTGAAGGCACTGCCTTGGGCTGGCGGGCGCCCTTTGCACTGGTGGGGGTTCTTGGCTGGGCCGTTACAGCCCTCCTCAGCTTCACGTTTGAGATACGGCCCTGCCCTTGCGCGGGGCGCTTCAGGCAATTCAGGCAATCTGCAACGGCCTCTGAGTCTGAGCCATCACCACAGCCGTCTGCGCTGCTCGCTTCGACAAGGGACTCCTCTGCGGCAGCTTCCGGCCCGGGCGGCCCGGGCCCACGGCCTTCGTCGGCTCGCACCGACCTCTCGAAGCCGACGGTGCTCTGTATCTGCCTGCAAGGCATCACGGGCTGCGTGCCGTGGGCCGTCATTGGTACTTTCATGACAGACTATCTGGCGACCAATGTCCACATGGGCGTCCCGAGTGCGACGGCTGTGCTTTTCAGCTTTGGGGTGGGCTGCACCACAGGCACAATCACTGGGGGGAAGCTAGGCCAATACCTCTACAAGAAGGACAAGCGGCTGCAGGGCTGGCTCATGGGGGTGACGGTTTGGGGTGGCATGCTCCCCATGTTCTGTCTCTTTGCCACCCGGCTGCCCCTTTCACTTTCAGCCCTTGACAAGACTCTTCAGAGGCTCTCCTACAACCCGACATCTCAGGCTCTGGGTGAGGCCCACCCGGTGATTTTCCACCTCTTGGCTCTGTCCGGCGGCTTTCTGTCCTCCATCCCTCCGGTGTGCCTTGTCTGGAAACAGGTTCTGTGATGCAAGGGTCACAGGGCACGGTGTTCCGAATTTCGAGAGTATCTTGTGAATATTCCAGCTCTGTGCTTGGGACCTCAGGAACGCCAAGGCGGTGCTGCTGAATGTAGTGGCAACCCACTCTCGGGGCACCGTGTTCGGAGCTTCTCGTGCGAAAGCGCTGCTTTCTTTTTTCTGTTGTGCTGCGATGACATGGGGCACCCAGCCAGATTCCGGCCTTGCATGCTTGGGCGCCAGGGCGAATGTGACTCGTCTCAGGTTTACACCATCATGGACGACCTCGGCAAGGTACTCGTCTCAAAGCGGAAAACCGTAAGATCGGCAAGATTCAGGCCTCTGTTCGGTCCACGAGCAACACCCTGCTGCTTCTCGTGAGAGCTACGTTCTGATTCTTTTTGCAGTGATGATGTTGGTGATCATGAACGATGCAGATCTGATGATGAGGTGGAGTGCTGCCAGATTGCAGCTCAGAACGGTGCTATTGTGAATGCAGTAGCGAAGATCTGGCTCGGAACTGCCTTCGCCCGTTTTACTCTCTGCAAACAGCGAGCTTGCTCGTAGGGAGTATGGGTGTGAAGGAAGCTTGGGGTACATAAGACGGGAGGTTGGCATGAAAGGACTTGCCAACTGCGAGTGCACTTGTTGACATTTATTCGCGTGTGCCTGGGCTTTGGATCTGCGTCAGGAGAGTGCAACAGAGAGAGTCGATGTAGTGCGGGTAGTGACTGCCCTGGCTCCCAGTGGTACCGGTACCCACCGGTACCGGCCCAGCCCGGGAGCAGCTCAGGGACTCGGGCCTGCTCTGGTTTCCAGCTTCGTGCGGGGCATGGGGCGCCAGGACTGATGCTGCAATCCAAAGAACATAGAGTCCTATAGACTGTAACGAAGTAGAAGACCAGAGTACCAATACCAATATCGATAAGAGATATTAATACGAGTGGTGCTAGAAGTAGCAATACCAATAGCGAAAATCATCAGGCTTTGTCATAGTTATTATGATGCTTATGAGCAGTCTAGTAGCCGTGGCAGCAGATTTTAGCTCATCGGCTCGAGTTTGTGCAATTTTTCGGCGTGTCTCCTTGAAGTATACAATGGTCAAAATATTAGCTTACAGTGTTTCTGGGGAGAATATCGTTGACATTATGTCTACTATGTTATTTATGATGTGAAGCATTCTCGAAAAACAGGGGCCAGGACCTCAACAGACCCTGAAGAGCGAAGCGAGAATCAAACACCAAACTTCCCTGCCAAATCTTTTGAAGGTTTCAGGTTCCACAAAGTCTTCCTTGCAGCGCCCTCCACGCTCCGCCAAATCTCTTGAAGGTTTCAGGTTTGCGCGAAGTCATTAAGTGCTCGCCAAGTCTATTGAAGCTTTGATGCCTGTGCGAAGTCGCGACATGCCTTTTGAGCGGGTCTGCACATTTCTTAAATGTTTGAGGTTTGCGCGAAGCCCTTGAAGCTCCACCCCAACATCCCACTGCACCGGCATTTTCAGGTTTATCATGCCAGGAGGTCTGCCACTCTGAGAGGATCTTGGCATCCACCCCACTCTATTTGTGGCTCAGGGCTTCGCATCCTCAACCGCCCGGCCTGCAGCGGGCTTCGCCATCCTTCCAAACCTAAACACCATGCCTGAGCATGCAAAACCCAAGCCTAAACAGAACCCAAAACCTAAACATCAAGTTCTTTTGCGGAAGCCCACAGCCCGTCTGTGTAGCTTTCGTACTGGGAGAAAGGGGCTGGGCCTGGCAAAAAGAGCAAAAGAGCCGGGATGCCCCAAGTAAAATTAAATTTCAGGTGGGCAAGGCCTTCAAGCCACCAAAAGACCTCAACCAAAAATGGCACTCTACCGCAACCGCACTTTTGTTGTATGACTCCTCTCAAAAATCCTTTGTTCACTCCCAGACAAAGGGCCTCCGCCAAGATTGCCCTCTCTCCCTATGTTTGTTCGGTCTAGGTCTTTCGCACCCCTTCTTCGTTGTCGAACAAAGTTAGCAAAGTTACTTTGGCGAAATTTCCGCTGTCTTCCATGTCCCTTCCGCGCTTTGGGACCTACAGCAGACGACACGGTCCTTCTCTCTTGTTGAAACCACCGCCTCTTTCATCTGGTTCAGTATCATGGACACTCTCGAGGCTTCATTGAAAGTGAATATTTGTGCTTCCATTCTAATCAGCACATATACTCAACCTGGATCGTCCGTGCTTTTGCCGATACCTTCCGCAGGCAGTTTTCAGCGAGCGGTAGTGCTAAGCCGCTTAGCCTGTCAGGACTCGTTCCTGCTGGGAATGACCTTCTGGCTGCCTTGTGGCCTCTTCTGTGTTGCTTGACTCGGACGATGCTAGAGTGGGTTTGTCGACAACCGGTTTTTGGCATGTGGTTGACGATTTGTGAGCGAGCCTCCTGAATGAGCCTTCGTAGCATAGGAGTGTCTCAGCAGTTCGGATAGAGACGTGCGGGATGCGCCAAGTTATAGCTTGAGATTACCATCTTTTGCGTCAGGCTCTTACGGCCTGTACTGTGCCGCGTGACGACCTGTCGGACAAGCCGGAGGAAGCTACTCGGCCACTGCTAGCACTCCCGCATCTTGCGCTCTGAAGCTCTCCAACAAAGGTCTCTGCGACGGCTAGCTGATGCGGGCCGAAGCGCCCGATCCCCTAGGCCCGGAAAGACGGGTGCATCTGGCGACGCCAGAGGGGAGAAATGGCCTGGGCCGAGCCAAGAGCGCGCACATGCTGCCACAGAAGCCTGCCCAAATTGCCCATGAAGATTTAGACTAGGCCGTTTGGCTGTCGATGCCGTCCACGACCAGCCTGGCTCAATCTCAAGCTTGGGCAAACGTACTCGTTTTCGTAGAGACTCCCAACGTGCAGTGTGGTGACCGGCCAACACAAGCAGACGATTTGAGCCTCCCGATCCAGTGCCAACAGTAAGAACCTTATTGTCTGAAAATCTCCAGGACGTGAGGACGAAAGAGTTGCTCGTAGACGTAAATTCAGCTGCCCCGGAGCCCAAGAAGGGCTACGTTGCCAGCTCACGATGGCGTCCATGGTTTTCGCCCAGAGCTTACAAGATGTTTGAGTGGTTACTACAGCCAGGCGAATTCATAGTAAGCTCCAGCCTTGACGCCAAGGTCGCCGCTCTTTGCCTGGTGTGTGCCAGAGCCCAGCTCTTCGGATTTCTTGGGGCGGTCTTGCTTGGGGCGCGCGCGCGCGCGCGCGATCATGCTATCTCAGGATGAATCGGTCGAGCAGCTCCACTACAAGGTCGGCTTTGAACATGGTGCAGCGTAGACTCACCGCATCATTGCAGAGCGGCCAAGAAGAACTCGATGCCTTCGAAGCCGTAGAGGGGGGGACGGATCGTGTTTGTCGCGGCAGCAGTGCCTCAGATGACGACAATTCCTATTATATTGTGCATGGTGGGAGCCGAGCAGCGAGCTTGGAGTCCTGTAAGAATGCTTGTGTGGACACCCCAGGATGCAGAGGCGTCGAGTGGAGGCCAGGACGCTGTGAAGTCTGGACTCGTGTTGGTGGCATCCAGGCAGCCGCGGTGACCACCGGTCCCGTCTGCTTGCGGTATGTGCCCTTCGTCCTTGCAGAGGGCAGGCTAGACCGTGCGTGCCGGGGCGGAAGCGTGTCTGACAACAACCCAGCATACTACGAGATCACGACTGCGGGGTCTTTGGAGGCTTGTCAGGACCTATGCCTGGGTTTGCCAGCCTGCTTGGGCATCGAATTCAGCGGTACGCGCTGTGAGCTGTGGACGCGGTCTGAGCGCATTGCTGCAACAGCTTCTCTCTCGCAGAGTGTTTGCCGGAGGCTTAACGTGTTGCTGTTACCACGGCGTGTTTGCCTTGTGATCCGAAGCTGTAACGCCAATGCACCCAGGTCAGCCATTGGCGCCATTCGTCCAGGTGGATGGTAACGATCGAGCATGCCGAGGTAGGGACGAGTTCGACGATGATGCGAGCTTCTTCACCAGTCACTCCTTGTCCACGGAAGGCTGCAAGTCTCTCTGCGCACAAAACCCGCTCTGTCAGGGTGTTGAGATCTCAAGCAGCGACTGCAAGGTGTGGACCCGCGCCTCTGGAATCCAGGCCACGGTGCCGCTGGCCGGTTCCGTCTGCCTCCGTGCCGGGACACTTGGAGTTCCCGATGCGTTTCCGCGAGTCGATGGTGGCTTCGACCGAGCCTGCCGTGGCCAATCCACGTCTGACTGGAGCCCGTCCTACTTCGTCTATTTCAACGCAGCACAGGCTCCTACGCTCGATGACTGCAAGGCCAGGTGCCTGAAAAACGCCGATTGCAAAGCAATCGATTTCAGCAGCAATGGCTGCAATGTGTGGACGCGACCCGTCACCACCTCAATCAGCTTCAGCGGATCCACCTGCTTCAAGTATGAACCCTTCGTGGGCATTGATGGGGGAGAGAGGCGTGGCTGTTTTGGTGCACCACCGTATCAAATCAAGACCTTGACTTTTCCACCTGCAGAGATGGCCGATCAGTGCAAGCTTGAGTGCGCTCGAACTCGAGCATGCCAAGGCATCGAATACAGCAGTTCCCACTGCAGCGTTTGGACATCCAACATTTCAGGAAGCTACTCCAGCGAGACTCGGACCTGTCTGCGCTATCAGCCTCTCATACCGGTCGGCGGTGGCTTAGACAGAGCTTGTAGTGGCATGGACCCCACTGATGCCTGGCCAAGTTACTACAGTCTCGCGACTTCCGAGTCTTTCTCCCTGGCCTCGTGCAAAACACTGTGCCTTTCAACCATCGGATGCAAAGGCATTCAGTACACCGCAGGAAACTGTCAGGTTTGGACCCGGCGCGGAGGCATCCAGTCTTCCAGGGATCAGAGTGGTTCCTTATGTCTGCGCTTGGGTACCGGGGACGTTTGGGAAGAGGCCAGTGCCTTCGTTTCGATGGATGAGGGCCACACTTGCGGCGGTGAGGGATTGACGGCTGTGGTACATGGGCCTGAGAAAGCCGGAGCGTTGCAAGAGTGTGAGTTGAGATGTGCCTCCATGCCTGGTTGCAGGGGGGTCGATTTCGGAGTGGGAGGATGCAGAACGTGGCACGGGCCTGGAGTGGTCATGGCAGTCGCAGAACCGGGGTCGACTTGCCATAGCTTCTTGCCGTTTCGTGACGTGGACGGGGGTGAAGGCCGCGCTTGCCGGGGTGTGAGCCCAGATGATGTGCAGAGCTCCTACTACCTGCAGAAGTCGGCCGCATCGTTGCAGGACTGCCAGGACCTCTGTGTGAGGCAGTCTGAGACCGATTTGACAAGCTGCAAAGGCATCTCCTACGACTCGGTCCCCGGCACCTGCCTCGTCTGGACTCTGGCAATCCAGGCCACGGCGCCAGAGAGTTCCACGTCCCTGTGCCAGCGGTACGAGCCCTTCGTGGAGATGGGTCGGGACCGGGCGTGCAGGGGGTCTCATTCTCAAGACATATCTGACAGCTACTACACCTCTCAGAACTCGTCCGAAGCTCCCAATCTGGAAGCATGCCGTGTCCGCTGCCAACAGTCCTCCAGCTGCAGAGGCCGGAGGTTTGCAGAGACAGAGTAAGTTGTAGGCAATTGCTGGAGGATTGCTTGTGTGCTTGAGGAGTTGAGTTCGGTCCCGACGGCTGCAAGATTTGGAATCGGGACGTGCGGGCAACGGCCGAAGCATTTGGTTCCATTTGCCTAAGGCCCCGAGCTTGCAAAAAGAGGTGGTGTTGACTTCATAAGGAGACCATACAGCAGTCAGACAATACACCTCATTTCTTGCGTACGTGTGCTCCAAGGTTGGCGGTGCAGCAGCTGGAGGAGGTCGCTGAGTCGGCGGATGCCTTCCAACCGGTGGAGGGCGGCAGCGGCCGTGCATGCCGTGGGGCCGACAGCACCGACACCAACGCGGCGTACTACGACTATTACCACCCTTCAGTTGTGACCAGCATGTCCCAATGCAAGGGCTTGTGCATTGAGACGTCGGGCTGCCAGGGCATCCAATTCAGCATTCACGGCTGTCAGGTTTGGACCCGGCCGGCTGGCATCCAAGCCACCGCCCCATCGCCCGACCTGACCTGCCTCAGTTACAAGCCTTTCCGCCTCGTGGATGGCTTCAGTGACCGATCCTGCCGTGGGACCAGCGTGCAGGACAACGCTCCCTCGAACTATCTGACCCTGACGGCTCCTTCCCTGGCAGACTGCCAGAGCGCCTGTGCACAAGAGCCTGGGTGCAAGGGAGTTGAGTACAACGCCAGCGGCACGGCGTGTGAGGTGTGGGCGTTGCCCTCAGGCATAGCCGCAAGCGTTGCTTCGCAGGGAACCACGTGCATGAGGTACGAACCCTTCGTTGCAGTTGATGGTGGCTTGGACAGGTCATGCCGTGGAGCAAATGCGGAGGATGACTGGCCGAGTTACTACACGGTCCACGAGTACACTTGGCTGTCTGGCCCATCCATCGAGGAATGCAAGGAGCGATGCCTGTCTACGCCCGGTTGCCGGGGTGTGGAATACACGAAAGGACAGTGCAAAGTTTGGACACGACAGGGAGGAATCCAGTCCAGTGCTCCAAGTTCTGGATCCTTGTGCTTGCGTTTCGGTGCCTTCGATTCTTTGGAGTTGCTTGATGCATTCTGGCCAGTTGATGGTGCGGACCGTGCTTGCCGTGGCAGCTCCCGCGAGGATCTCCAACCCAGCTATTACACGTCCGTGGGCCCAGACAAGGCCGCATCTCTCGAAGCATGCAAGAGCCTATGCGTCCGGACATCCGGCTGCAACGCCATCCAGTTCACATCCATGGAGTGCCAGCTGTGGACAAGGAGCAGCGGTGTGGAGGCCACAATTGCACAGACGGGCTCGTCTTGTCTGCTCTTCCGACCCTTTCGCACCGTGGACGGTGGCCAGGATCGTCTGTGCGCTGCCACAGGCAGCCAGCCCAGTGCAATGGCTGCAGATAGCTTGAGCTCGTGCCAGATGCTCTGCGAAGGCTCGGCGTGGTGTGCTGGGATCAGCTTCGATTCTGGCGATTGCCTCGTCTTCACCGGTGAGTTCTCCAGCCAGGCACGTCAAGGCAGCCAGTGTCTCAGTTACGAGCCCTTCGTGGCGGTGGATGGCGGGGTGGACAGGGCTTGCAGAGGCTCGCACGAAGACGACATCAGCAGCTTCTATTACCAAGACTACTCTCCTGCTGAAGCGCCCACACTGGAGCAGTGCAAGCTGCTGTGTGCAGCCACCGAGCAGTGCCAGGGGCTGGACTTCTCCCAAGACGGCTGCAAGGTGTGGACGCGTTTCGGGATCCAGACTACGAAGGCCAGCCAAGGGCACTTCTGCTTGCGGTACGGAAGTCCAGATCCTTTGCTCACGGCTTCTGCTTTTGAGCCTGTTGGAGGAGGCATGAACAGAGCCTGCCGTGGCCAGGATGAGATGGACAACTTGGACAGCCACTACCTTGTCTTCACCGCATGGCCTGAAAATTCATCGATGGATGCCTGCCAGAGGTTGTGCATGAGGACTGAGGTGTGCAAAGGCATAGAGTTTCGTTTGGGCGCCTGCGAGATTTGGACCCTTGCCGATGGGATCCAGGCTTCAGTCAGCGCACCTGGAAGAGCTTGCTTCCGATACAGGCCCTTCAGGACACTGGACGGATTCTCTGACCGGGTTTGCCGCGGGAGCGGGGTTAGCGACACTCAAAGCAGCTACTACAGCATCTACTCCCCGCTGGAGGCTCCGAGCTTGGACTCTTGCAAGGCCCTCTGCATGAAAAAACGGAGGACTCAGACTCCGAGCTGCAGAGGCATCGAGTACCGAGGCTGGTGCGAGGTCTGGACAAGGCCGGAAGGAATCGGAGCAGTTGCCGTTTCCCCCGGATCCCAGTGCTTGCGCTACCTGCCCTTCATCAACATCGAAGGTGGGATCAACCGAGCCTGCCGTGGTTCGGATCCACTGGATACGCACAGCAGCTTCTACAATTTCTTCAGTGGCACGACGGTGGAGGAATGCAAGATTCTCTGTACCACAACCGCCGGATGCAAGGGTATTGAATTTCGCGATGGACGTTGTGAAGTGTGGACTCGGCGCGGTGGGATCCAGGCCTCCACATATACGAAAGGCTCTTTGTGCATGAGCTACGGTGGGGAGGATGCTTTCGAGGACAGTCATGCTTTCACAGCTCTCAACGGAGGCTATCCCTCGACATGCCATTCAGCTGGATTGACTGCGTTCTCTGTTGGCGCGCAGCAGGTGTCTACCCTGCACAGCTGCCAATTGCGATGTGCGTCCATGCCGGGCTGTCGAGGAGTTGGCTTCGGTTCTGCAGGCTGCACAGTCTGGCTGGGATCCGGAGAGCTTTCTGTATCAGATGGAGGATCCGGTACTTGCCACAGCTTCTTGCCGTTTCGTGACGTGGACGGGGGTGAAGGCCGCGCTTGCCGGGGTGTGAGCCCAGATGATGTGCAGAGCTCCTACTACCTGCAGAAGTCGGCCGCATCGTTGCAGGACTGCCAGGACCTCTGTGTGAGGCAGTCTGAGACCGATTTGACAAGCTGCAAAGGCATCTCCTACGACTCGGTCCCCGGCACCTGCCTCGTCTGGACTCTGGCAATCCAGGCCACGGCGCCAGAGAGTTCCACGTCCCTGTGCCAGCGGTACGAGCCCTTCGTGGAGATGGGTCGGGACCGGGCGTGCAGCGGCTCCAGCAGCGACTACACGCAGTTGAGCTTCTCCCAAGCTTCGAGCCTGGATGCCTGCCGTGGCCAGTGTGTCGCCAATGTCGGCTGCACAGGCCTGGAGATGCAATAGTGAGAGTGCTTTCTGATTTCCGGTTGCAACTCCTGACAAGCCAGACAGTCCTGACGTCTCAAAGATCTTCCCAAAAGAAGCGGGAGCCCCGCGAGATGTCGGATGCCCTGGAGGCTCCCCATTCCCGTCCGCTGCCACTGAGGTATCGAGTTCAGCCAACAGCGCCTCCGATGTCGACTTTGGCTGCGCAGGGTGCAGAGCACGCTGCCTGAGCCGGGCACCATTTGCTTAAGGTTTCTCGGAGACATTCGGCGTCGAGAGAGGGAAACAAGAGAGACACGGAGGCAGAGAGAGAGAGAGAGAGAGAGAGCGTAGGCATCTGCATACTGCGAGGTTGGCGGTGCAGCAGCTGGAGGAGGTCGCTGAGTCGGCGGATGCCTTCCAACCGGTGGAGGGCGGCAGCGGCCGTGCATGCCGTGGGGCCGACAGCACCGACACCAACGCGGCGTACTACGACTATTACCACCCTTCAGTTGTGACCAGCATGTCCCAATGCAAGGGCTTGTGCATTGAGACGTCGGGCTGCCAGGGCATCCAATTCAGCATTCACGGCTGTCAGGTTTGGACCCGGCCGGCTGGCATCCAAGCCACCGCCCCATCGCCCGACCTGACCTGCCTCAGTTACAAGCCTTTCCGCCTCGTGGATGGCTTCAGTGACCGATCCTGCCGTGGGACCAGCGTGCAGGACAACGCTCCCTCGAACTATCTGACCCTGACGACTCCTTCCCTGGCAGACTGCCAGAGTGCCTGTGCACAAGAGCCTGGGTGCAAGGGAGTTGAGTACAACGTCAGCGGCACGGGATGTGAGGTGTGGGCGTTGCCCTCAGGCATAGCCGCGAGCGTTGCTTCGCAGGGAACCACGTGCATGAGGTACGAACCCTTCGTTGCAGTTGATGGTGGCTTGGAGAGGTCATGCCGTGGAGCAAATGCGGAGGATGACTGGCCGAGCTACTACACGGTCCACGAGTACACTTGGCTGTCTGGCCCATCCATCGAGGAATGCAAGCAGATATGCCTGTCTACGCCTGGTTGCCGAGGTGTGGAATACACGAAAGGACAGTGCAAAGTTTGGACACGACAGGGAGGAATCCAGTCCAGTGCTCCAAGTTCTGGATCCTTGTGCTTGCGCTTCGGTGCCTTCGATTCCCTGGAGTTGCTTGATGCATTCTGGCCAGTTGATGGTGCGGACCGTGCTTGCCGTGGCAGCTCCCGCGAGGATCTCCAACCCAGCTATTACACGCCCGTGGGCCCAGACAAGGCCGCATCTCTCGAAGCATGCAAGAGCCTATGCGTCCGGACATCCGGCTGCAACGCCATCCAGTTCACATCCATGGAGTGCCAGCTGTGGACAAGGATCAGCGGTGTGGAGGCCACAATTGCACAGACGGGCTCGTCTTGTCTGCTCTTCCGTCCCTTTCGCACCGTGGACGGTGGCCAGGATCGTCTGTGCGCTGCCACAGGCAGCCAGCCCAGTGCAATGGCTGCAGATAGCTTGAGCTCGTGCCAGATGCTCTGCGAAGGCTCGGCGTGGTGTGCTGGGATCAGCTTCGATTCTGGCAATTGCCTAGTCTTCACCAGTGAGTTCTCCAGCCAGGCACGTCAAGGCAGCCAGTGTCTCAGTTACGAGCCCTTCGTGGCGGTGGATGGCGGGGTGGACAGGGCTTGCAGAGGCTCGCACGAAGACGACATCAGCAGCTTCTATTACCAAGACTACTCTCCTGCTGAAGCGCCTACATTGGAGCAGTGCAAGCTGCTGTGTGCAGCCACCGAGCAGTGCCAAGGGCTGGACTTCTCCCAAGACGGCTGCAAGGTATGGAATGGCACCCAAGAAATCCAATCTACCAAGGCCAGCCAGGGGCACCGGTGCTTGCGGTACGGAAGGCGTGACCCTGTCTTGGATTCCTCGTCCTTTCGGGCAGTGGAAGGTGGCGTCGGGCGGGCTTGCCGTGGCAGGAACGAAACAGACAATCTGGACAGCCACTACTCGGTGCACGTCTTCTGGCCCGAGAATGCCAGCATAGAAGCATGCCAGCAGCTTTGTGTGGAAACTGCTACTTGCAAAGGCATCGAGTTCCGCCTGGGAGCCTGTGAGATTTGGACATTGGCTGGCGGCATTCAAGCATCAGTTGGTGCTCCCGGGAGGACGTGCATGACGTACGAGCCCTTCCAATCCGTTGATGGATTCTCTGACCGGGTATGTCGCGGCAGCAATTCCACTGACAGCCAGGACTCGTACTATGCCATTTACTCGCCAAGCCAGGCTCCGTCGTTGGACGCATGCCAGTCATTGTGCCAGAGTACTCCGGGCTGTCAGGGAATTGAGTACAGAGGTTGGTGTGAAGTCTGGACGCGACCAGGTGGAATCGGCGCAGTGGCACCTTCGCCGGGATCGCAGTGCTTACGGTATCAGCCCTTCGTCGGTGTGGATGGCGGAGTGAACCGAGCCTGCCGTGGTGTCGATTCCAGCGACAGCTGGGGCATCTACTACACCGTATATGGACAGGAGGAGGCAGCCACGGTAGAGGATTGCAAGTCAAGATGTATCGCTACATCAAGATGCAAAGGAATCCAGTTTCAACCCGGGAGATGCGAGGTGTGGACAAGACGTGCCGGAATTGGGACCACTGCTCCGAGTGCCGGCACAATCTGCATGCGCTATGGCACCTGGAGCATTGCAGATGCCAGTGATGCTTTCGTGATGGTGGAAGCAGGCCCCAACCAAGCATGCCGCGGGTCGAACCCAGGTGATGATCAGCCGAGCTACTACATCCTGCGCGGGCCAGATCTGGCTGCAGACGAAACAGAGTGCCGACAGCTCTGCATGGCCACGCCAGAATGCCAGGGCATCGACTTCAGCACCGACGGATGCAAGGTTTGGACACGCAAAGCTGGAATCCAGAGCTCAGCTGCGTGGGGAGGTGCGACCTGCCTGCGCTATGATCCTTTTGAGCCCGTGGATGGAGGTGAAGGTCGTGCATGTCACGGCGGCGTCAATGAGAGCTTGGAGGACTACGTCCTGTATGCTTCCGCTGAGGTGCCCACGCTTGCGGACTGCAAGATTCAGTGTGCTAGCACCACCGGCTGCAAAGGTGTGTCCTTCAGCATCGCAGGCTGTCAAGTTTGGACCCAGGGCGGCATCACCAGCACTGCGTCTGCAGGCAGCAGCTGCTTCAGATACATGCCTTTCGCCCCCGTGAATGGTGGAGACGATCAAGCTTGCCGAGGAGCCCACTCACAGGACAATGACCCGAGCTACTACCTGTCCTTCTCAAGAGAGCAGGTGCCGTCAATCGAGTTGTGTCGGCTGCAATGCGCTGCTACCGAAGGCTGCACAGGCGTTGAGTTCGGAGCCTTGGGATGCAAGGTTTGGACCCGCTTCGAAGGCATCCAAGCGACGGAGATGGTCCAAGGCTCCCTCTGCCTGCGCTTCGGGCCCCCGAATCCCCTCTTGGGCGCTGGCGCCTTCCGGGCAGTGGAAGGTGGCGTCGGGCGGGCTTGCCGTGGCAGGGACGAGACAGACAATCTGGACAGCCACTACTCGGTGCACGTCTTCTGGCCCGAGAATGCCAGCATAGAAGCATGCCAGCAGCTTTGTGTGGAAACTGCTACTTGCAAAGGCATCGAGTTCCGCCTGGGAGCCTGTGAGATTTGGACATTGGCTGGCGGCATTCAAGCATCAGTTGGTGCTCCCGGGAGGACGTGCATGACGTACGAGCCCTTCCAATCCGTTGATGGATTCTCTGACCGGGTATGTCGCGGCAGCAATTCCACTGACAGCCAGGACTCGTACTATGCCATTTACTCGCCAAGCCAGGCTCCGTCGTTGGACGCATGCCAGTCATTGTGCCAGAGTACTCCGGGCTGTCAGGGAATTGAGTACAGAGGTTGGTGTGAAGTCTGGACGCGACCAGGTGGAATCGGCGCAGTGGCACCTTCGCCGGGATCGCAGTGCTTACGGTATCAGCCCTTCGTCGGTGTGGATGGCGGAGTGAACCGAGCCTGCCGTGGTGTGGATTCCAGCGACAGCTGGGGCATCTACTACACCGTATATGGACAGGAGGAGGCAGCCACGGTAGAGGATTGCAAGTCAAGATGTATCGCTACATCAGGATGCAAAGGAATCCAGTTTCAACCCGGGAGATGCGAGGTGTGGACAAGACGTGCCGGAATTGGGACCACTGCTCCGAGTGCCGGCACAATCTGCATGCGCTATGGCACCTGGAGCATTGCAGATGCCAGTGATGCTTTCGTGATGGTGGAAGCAGGCCCCAACCAAGCATGCCGCGGGTCGAACCCAGGTGATGATCAGCCGAGCTACTACATCCTGCGCGGGCCAGATCTGGCTGCAGACGAAGCAGAGTGCCGACAGCTCTGCATGGCCACGCCAGAATGCCAGGGCATCGACTTCAGCACCGACGGATGCAAGGTTTGGACACGCAAAGCTGGAATCCAGAGCTCAGCTGCGTGGGGAGGTGCGACCTGCCTGCGCTATGATCCTTTTGAGCCCGTGGATGGAGGTGAAGGTCGTGCATGTCACGGCGGCGTCAATGAGAGCTTGGAGGACTACGTCCTGTATGCTTCCGCTGAGGTGCCCACGCTTGCGGACTGCAAGATTCAGTGTGCTAGCACCACCGGCTGCAAAGGTGTGTCCTTCAGCATCGCAGGCTGTCAAGTTTGGACCCAGGGCGGCATCACCAGCACTGCGTCTGCAGGCAGCAGCTGCTTCAGATACATGCCTTTCGCCCCCGTGAATGGTGGAGACGATCAAGCTTGCCGAGGAGCCCACTCACAGGACAATGACCCGAGCTACTACCTGTCCTTCTCAAGAGAGCAGGTGCCGTCAATCGAGTTGTGTCGGCTGCAATGCGCTGCTACCGAAGGCTGCACAGGCGTTGAGTTCGGAGCCTTGGGATGCAAGGTCTGGACCCGCTTCGAAGGCATCCAAGCGACGGAGATGGTCCAAGGCTCCCTCTGCCTGCGCTTCGGGCCCCCGAGCGAACTGGTTGATGCCAGTGCTTTTCAGCCTGTGGACGGGGGCATCGACAGAGCTTGTCGTGGCAGCAACGAAACTGACAACCTCGATGCCTATTACACGCTTTTCTGGACCTGGCCGGAAAACTCCTCAATGGAGGCGTGCAAGGACAGGTGTGCTCGAAGCTCAGTCTCTCTGTAGCCCATGTCTTGTGTGCAGTTCGTGCTTGATTGCCGAGGGGAGGAAGCTTCAGTTGAAAGTTCAAGGGCACATATTAATTCTCGCATTTCTGCCTTGGTGACTTCAACTCAGGTGCGAACTCCAAGTTGCAGGGGCGTTGAGTTTCGGATGGGCGGGTGTGAGATCTGGACCCTGGCAGCTGGGATTGGAGCGACAGTGGCATCTCCTGGCAGGACTTGCCTAGCTTACAAGCCCTTCAAGACCCTGGATGGCTTTAGTGGACGAGTTTGCCGCGGCAGTTCGCCAACAGACAGCCTGAGCAGCTACTACACATTGACAGGCCCTGATGTTACGCCGACTCTGGATGCTTGTCAGAATCTGTGCATGGCGACTCCAGGGTGCAAAGGTGTTGAGTACAGAAGCGGCTGGTGTGAAGTCTGGAGACGTCCAGAAGGCATCATGGCCATCGCCGTTTCTCCTGGCGCCGACTGCTTGCGCTACGAGCCTTTCATGGAGGTGGATGGTGGCGTGAACAGAGCCTGCAGAGGAGCAGACGTCGGGGACAACTGGGGCAGCTACTACACCGTTCTCTCTGCGAGTTCGCTGGACGGATGCAAGGAAGCCTGTCTAAGTCGCTGGAATTGCAAGGGCATCGAATATCGAAAGGGCCGCTGCGAGGTATGGACCCGTCCTGCAGGCATCCAGGCCTCTATCGCGAGTTCCGGGGCACTTTGTTTGCGGCTTGGAGGCAGCGAAGAGCTGGCAACGGATGCCTTCCTCTCCTTCCACGGAAGTGTGAACCGGGCTTGCCGCGGGTCGGATCCCTCAGACGATCAGCTGAGCTACTACGATTGGCACGGTCCTTTGGCAGTGCAAACCCTGGAGCAATGCAAGCTGAAATGCCTTTCGATAGCAGCTTGCAGGGGGATTGACTTCAGCGCAGAGGGATGCAAGGTCTGGACACGTGAGGTTCAGAGCAGCGTCGAGCGAGCAGGCTCCACTTGCTTGCTCTACGAGCCTTTCCAGCCAGTTGATGGGGGGGAGGATCGTGATTGTCGCGGAGCTCACAGCACTGACATCTCTCCGGCCTACTTCACAGAGGGCCCAGAAGCCTCATCTCTTCTTGACTGCAAGCTGCAATGCGTCGCTACAGCTGGCTGCAGGGGCCTCGCCTACAACAGCACGAGCCAGGTGTGTCATATCTGGGCCACCAACGTCCAAGCATCAACGGCGGCTTCCGGAAATGTTTGCCTGCGCTTCGAGCCTTTCGTGGATGTGAACGGAGGCCGCGACCAGTCCTGCCGAGGAGGGCACATTTTTGACAATTCTGGCTTCTACTACAGGTCGTACACACTGGCCCAGGTGTCCAACTTGGAAAGCTGCAGGGTCGAGTGTGTTGGCACAAACGGCTGCAAAGGCATTGACTGGAGTGCAAGCGGCTGCAAAGTTTGGTTGAGAGTGCAGGGTATCGAGGCCACCGCTGCAGTGCCAGGTTCCGTCTGCGTCCGCTATGGCGTGCCTGATCCCTTGCGATCCGCAGACGCCTTCCCGGGCATGGACGGTGGAATCAATCGTGCGTGCAGAGGTATCAGCGAGAGCGACAATGATCCCCAGAACTGGATTTTCTTCCCCATCTCGCAGGCCAGGGAGCTCGCGGCTTTTAGGAGAGTCTTGAGTTTCGGGTGTCTGCGTGAGGTGAGGACCTTGGAAGCCTGTCAGCTGCGATGCATCTTCAAGCCCGGCTGCTTTGGGGTGGAGTTCAATCTCTGGGGCTGCGAAGTATGGATGCGAGAAATCCAGGCTTCTGTTTACGCATCGGGCTACCAGTGCTTTCGCTTCACGCCCTTCGTTTCAGCAGATGGCTTCGACCCTTGGAGATCTTAGTCCGTAGCGCCGTAGATCCGTGGATCTGTTCGGAGTGCCGCATGCCGCAAGCTTCTGAAAGCATGGCACTAAGACCGATCGGGCTTGTCGTGGGCAAGATGCATCGGACAACTTGGGGTCTTACCTCACCTTCTACGGCCGATCAGGCGAGTCACCCTACGACGGACGCTCGGTGGGATATCACTTTGGGACAGGGGTCCAATGACGCATATCGTAGCTGAGTGACGAAGGGGCAGGAGTTCTGAGCCTTCAGTGTTGGCGCTTCTGTGGCAACGGGATGAGAAAATTGGGTGGTCTTTTAGGCTGTTGTGGTGGTAAGAGCTCGGCCTCAATTCTTGTCAACCTGTGAGGACAGAGGTCGACCTGCGAGCAACTGCCAGGAGCTGAGACGGGCCCTGGAGGCTGGAGGCCGACTCTCACAGAGAGATTCCTTCCTTTTGCTCCAGCTGAGGTGTGCCTCCACCTCGGGGTGCAAGGGCATCGAATTCAGCTCCGGCCACTGCGAGGTCTGGACTCGCGAGGCTGGGATCCAGGCAACGGTTCCTCGGCCAACGAAAGCAAGCGCGAAGGCCCAAGGCCCAAGGCCCCTGCGGAGCGACTGCGGAGTTTCTATCTGAGGCTCCGGCACTGGGGTCTTCCTGTCTGCGCACCTCGGCTCATGCAAGGAGAACGTAGAATGCAGACCCTTTCAGACAGAGCGCAGGCCATGATGAGGTTTCTTCCATGAGTTCTGCGCTTGCTGAGGCTTCGAGCCTTTCTCCAACGTGGAGGGTGGGGTGGACCGAGCCTGCCGCGGAGAAGATCCATTCGACAACTGGCCGAGTCCCCTTCCAGAATGAACTTCGACAGGGCACCCTGCACTTAGGTCTAGGGTTTGGCCTCTGCTTCGCCGGTTTCCACTCTTGGGCCACCCATCCTTCTCTGTCTCTCTTTGCTCCGAGGTTACTACACGCTGACCAGCGCAAGCTCCGTCCAGGCCCGACGGTGTGCTTGTCGAGCTTCCCCTTCTTGGTATTCGCTTCAGGATTGCAAGCAGCTCTGCATGGGCACAGCTGGCTGCCATGGCATCGAGTACAGCAGCTCTGGTCGATGCGAGCTGTGGACTCGTGTGGCTTCCGCTGCACTTGAGAGCAGTGTAGGCTAGAGGTCACGAGGTGTAACTTAGGACTTAGGATGGGTTTCTTCTCAGGCGAGGGGGATCGGAAGCTCCTCGGCGGCTGTGGGATACGTGTGCATGCGCTACGGCTCTTGGGACCCATCCGACGTCCTCGACGGCTTCCTGCCCGCAGATGGGGCGTTTGATCGAGCCTGCCGCGGTATGAACCGGACAGACATGAACTCCGAGTATTACGTGTTCTATGCATTGGACATTGCCCCGAACTTGGGTGCCTGCAAGGCCATCTGCACAGTCACCCCTGGTTGCAAGGGCGTGGAGTTCAGCAGCTTTGGATGCGAGGTTTGGACACGTGCCGAGGGAATCGAAGCCACGGCTGCAGTGTCTGGGTTCCAGTGCTACCGCTACGTTGCCTTCGAGCCTGTGGATGGTGGCCTAGACCGAGCGTGTCGGGGTGCCGATACCTCGGACGCCTCTTCGGCGAACTTCGTCCTGTGCCCACCCTCGGAGGTGGCATCCTTGGAGCAGTGCCAGGCGCGCTGCGTGGAGAGGCCGGGCTGCCGGGGCGTCTCCTACTCCTCGCAGGGCTGCGAGCTTTGGACGAGGCCTTTCGGCATCGAGGCCACGGTGCCCAAGGTGGGTTCCAGTTGCTTTCGGCACGAGCCTTTCACCGATGCAGATGGGGGAAAGGACCGCGCGTGCCGCGGCGCGCAGCCCTGGGACAACTCAACCGAGCACTACAGGGAGGCAACGCTTCCGATACCGACGCTGGCAGCTTGCAAGGTGGCGTGTGTCAACTCTCCGGGTTGCAAAGGCAGCGTGGCCCCTTCAGAAGATCTTGAGTGGTGATGAGTTGTAGTGAGTCTGAATGTTCTTCGACAGGCCCCCAAACACTGTAGGGGCCTGTAAGGCATCGAGTTCCAGCCCAACGGCAAGTGTCTGATTTGGACGCGCCCGGGTGGAATCGACGCGACGGCCACTTCCTTCGGCTCCATCTGCCTCCGGCACGGTGCCACCCAAGCTGGGGCCAGCGAAGAAGGAGAGTTTGGGAGAGCGAGACCTAAAGAAGGAAGCCACAAAGTCTCAGATTTCCCCTGTGTGCAGGAAGTTTGGTGGGCCAGATTCACCTGGCATCGGATCCACGGCTCTGCCTGGACGTCGGTGGCTTCAACAACGGAGATCCTGTCCAAGTGGGGCTGTGCACATCCTCGACTCGCTTCGTAATGAACAGCGACGACACTGCTCAGATTCGGTTGGCATCAGATCTGACGAAGTGCCTGGATGTGGCCGGTGGAATCAAAAGCCGCTTGGCCGCCCACTGTTCCTTAATCGCGCACTTCTGAGACACTCGCTCTCGTGCCGGAAGCGTGTTGCAGGCAACGGCACGCGGATTCAGATCTGGGATTGTGAAACTCCGGCCGCTCAGCTTGGCGGTTCATGCAACGAGTCCCATAGTCGACGTAAGGGCATATGTGTCGACGTGCGCATTGTCTGCAATCAAGGTCAATGGCAATATGCAGTTCCTGTTTCCCGATGGCGGCGTCGGACAGATCAGGCGATAGTCTGATGCATTTTTCGATGCACCTTGTTGCCTTCCTTGCCCCGTCCCCAAGAGGTGGGCCACGTATTTGGACATGTGCCTGCAGCCGGTGGGCAACACGACCGGAAGCCAGGTCATCCTCTGGAATTGCAGGCGCAGATTGCTTGTGTTCGAGTGCTTGCGATTCTTCGTCCCAGCGGAAGCGCAGCCTTACACGGACTGCACGTCCCGTTCCAGAGGCGGGCTTCTGGCAACTCACGAGTGGTGCTGCCTAGTGGGGAGCTGCGCACCGTTCGCACACCGACGCGCGGCCGCATTATGTGGCAGCAGGCCTGTTTGTGTACAGCTCTTCGCAATCCAAGGAAGTTTGTTGCCCACTACCTACCATGGTTCCTGGGCAACAACGTGGACGAAGCCTGCACGAGAAGCGGACCCAACTGTCCTTACAAGAATGACCATTGGTGTTCAACGTATGGGAATTCTTATTATGCCAGTTACCTGGGCGCCTATGACATAACTGGTCCGAACGTGATTGAGACCCAGCTGGATCTGATGAAAGCTTCTGGTTTGGATGGGTTGTGGATTGACTATCAAATGCCCACTTGGGATGGCGTTGTGGACAGGATCGTTGCTGGCTTGAAGACGAGGGGAATGGGCTTTGCCATCATGGTCGATTCTGCCACTTTCCCTGACGTCATGGCAACCACGGCTGAGAAGGTCACGAACTGGACCATGGAGCCTCACTACTATCGCCACCAGGGCTTGCCCATCATACCAGTTTGGAACAACAACTTCACAATCTTCTCTCCACTCCCCGTGAATGCAATCTACATCACTCGTTATGAGTTCGATCCTCCCGAGTGGGCATCTGACACATATACCTGGGTTCAGGATGACTACCTTGTCAGGCCCTGTGGGGAAAAAGCCCAGAGGCATAAATAGAAACAGTAGAGGCAGACGGCAGATAGAGAATCGACGGATCGTGCTTTGTTCTTGTCCGCACTGGCAGGTATTACGAACAGCACCATGCCGTCGTCTCCTCCGGTTCAGCTTTCCGCGGCTATCGTGATTGCTATTTCGACAAGACCCTCAAGGACACGGGTGTGGAAGGAAACTCCGTCCTGGATGTTCTCTCTCAACATGGATGTGGCATAGCGCTAGAAGTACTAGTAGCTAGTACTTGTAGCTGCCTTTTTGAAGGCCTCGCTCCCGCCCGCTCTCCTGCAGAGGACCCAAACGTCACGCAGCTGGAGATCACCCTGAACCGAGCGAGGCCAGGGCAGAGGGCCCCCCCCCTCTTTGCGGAGTTGGGCCCCTGAACCCTCTACAGGGCCCTGCTGAGGCAACATCGACCGGAGTACGTGCAATTGGTCACTTGGAACGAGCCATCGCTGAATCTGAGCTCCGGCGAAGGCAGATAGCTTTTCGCTAGAAGATCTGTGGTCCGAGGATTACACCGAAGGCACGCAGCTGGAGCCCAGCTGGATTCGCAGAGAGGGTGAGTGCGTGGACGTTTGCGGAGAGCGGCTTGCAGGCATGTGAGCCACAGTGCGCTTTTGCTGGCTGATAGTAGTGTCTTGGTGTTTTCAGTATCAGAACCACTGGAGTGCCGAGGAATTGCTTAACGGTCAGCGATTGTCATTCCAACGGCCTGTTGACCGACTGCACGAAGCCTGTGGGTTCTGCTACGGGCCCTGCAGACCCTTCCTGCAATGTGACTGGCAACCTCAGTGCCTTCGTGCCTGGGCCCGCACGAGCTAGGCCCTAGGCACCAACTGGACAAGCTAGGGAGTAGAACCGATGAAGAGCCTCTTGAAGTCACGTCTGTTCTGAGGCAGACCTCAACCAGGTCGCAGCCTTCATCGCGCGTGAGCGGTACATAGGTCAGGTATTGGCCCAGGCAGCTCGCTACGTGCCCTGAGCGCTCCGGGCAGGGAGCCAGGCCTCTGGTTTTCCCCGCGCAAGGAGGCTGGCGAAGCCCCTGCGCGCCTATAGTTAGCCTGCCCAGCCTTCCGAATATCTCGCTCGAATCACGAGCAAGAGATTCGCGATGCTGAGCCAAGCTTTGGGGTGAGAAGTGAGTGTGAGAAGTGTTCTCGTCTTGAATACGTCTGGTTGCAGACAGACAAGTCCGTCAAGAGCGGCATACACTTGGCTCTTGAAGCTCCTATATTTCCACCACATGCTAATGCACATGCTAATGCATCTCATCATCTTCGCCAAGGGTGAGGATTGCGTGCGACTGCCAGCCACAAGCTGCTGAAGGCCACAAGGTGCTCCGTTTCACTTGTCGACATGCACCATGTCGAGTGTCTAGAGTCGATGCGTCTTTCAATGGACGTGCGCGTACAGAACGGATACTTCAGCGCACTTCCAGCCCGGAAGATTGTACAGCTGACAGCACACTGTACAGAACTTCATGGATTTTCCCGCCTGCATGCAGGTTTGAAGTGCATATGCGCTGCTAAAGTTCACCAAGCAACTTGGCTGTGCAATGCACTCTTCGCAGACTCAGCGATGCGTCGAGGTGGCTCTAAATGATTGCGCTGCTTGAGGGCAGGTCAATGATGTGAGTATGCCAGCACCCGCACCCCAACTTGATGTGCTATCATGCTTGCAGCAGACATAGCAGTTTTTTGTCTTCAGCATGCTACCCTCCTATCTTCATGTTGCCGCAGCCTCATCGCACCAACTAGGCCATTCCATCGGTGCTGCAACCTACCGCGCAACATGCCAGGACAAGGTGACAGTCAGGGCTCCCAGGCCAATCACAACGGAAACGCACCATGTGGAGCTCCTTGTGGCGCTTGTTGTGGCCGTGGCTCCTGCAGAGGCTCCTGTGGAGGTTCCTGCAGGGGGTGCAGTGGGTGTGGCTGCGGGATATGCTAGCCCCACTTCTACAGTGAGTTCTTTCCAACTGCATGCGTCTCATTTGCGGATTGCGCCGGCTGATGGTTGATGAGTCTTAAAGCCTCACAGTGACCTCACAGCGACATCCAACAGATAGTCAGAAGAACGGTTCCTTGGCTGAGAACCTGGAGTCAGCGGTGCAGTTGCAACGTGCGCTTTTGGTTGCAATACTGCAAGCTAGACACCCCTGAGAGTCCGAACAAGCCTTGGAGTAGCCCACCTTCAGAAGTGGCTGTGGTAGTTTCACTAGTCGCCACTTAAGTTCCGAGAAGCAATCGAGTGGAGCAAGCCTGAAACTGAAATGTAACCTGCCCTCGCCAGGGCAATGCCGACATCTTGGAGGAGTGAGCTGATGTTGAAGAATTCGTCGAGTGCCAATACATGGCATGATTCAATCACGGAGACATTGGGGTCAAAGGGGCGGAGTTTCATGGCAACTTTCTCTCTGACATGCTGAAGGCTTTCGTGACATCATGCCTGCAACTGAAAGCTGCTGTGAAACCAGTGCTCCCGAGCAGCCGTCTGGGCGCATGTAAACTGGCTTTTATGGCCTCTAACCAGTGCGGGAAGGTCGCGAAGGATGCATCCACTAAGAACACATGTGACTGCAGATCTTAGCTTGTGCAGGGGGTCGCAGGTGCAAGAGCATCGGTGCTTGTGTGCCATGGAGTGTTACCGTGCATTTTTCGTTTTAGCGCGACGGGGCCTGTGCCAAGCTCAGTGCGTGCGTGCTGGTATTCAGGCATGGTGATATGCCAACCCTCTGGTCAGATCTTTTGTAGAGGTTTCTCGTGATTTCTCACGGTTAGGGCCCACGACCTTTTGGCTCTGGGGTAGAGGAGGTTGGATCAACGATCACGGGAACTAGTCCGCAGCTCCAGTTGAATGCAGGAAACTATCACCAAATATAATGAAATCATGCTAACGCAGGAAGTTCAGAAAAGGCAACAAATACTTGTCCCACCAAACGAAGAAGCTGCGTTTTCACAGATTGTCTAGGGACCTTACTACCACTCAAAGCCGTGAGCACGCATACCTACGACCGAGGTCTAATTGAGGTTTCATTCTTCGACGAGAATCGTGTGTCTTTGATGAGTTTCCTGTCTGCCCAGTTCCATTCCAGCCTCAATAGAATGTCTCCTGTGCCTAAAAATAATGACCTGCGGCCTGCCTCGGCGTTTAATAAACCGCTGTTCAGATATTCATAGGTTATTCATAATAATAATGGGAAAGACTGGAAAGTCCATGAGGAAACAGTCGCATTACTAGGTTTACGGGCGCAAGGGTTTTAGGGCCTTTTAGGGAATTGCAAGATAAGCTTCAGGGTCGCTCAAGGAATCATCCAAAGTTGAAGCCTTGGAAATAGAAACTCCTATCCAGGGTTATCTCTAGTCTGGGAGGGTTCCTGAAAGCATTGGCTCAGGATGTGTGCTCCATGAATGAAGCTTTGGGAAAATTCGGTGTTAGAGCCTTAGGAAGTAGAATACAAGAGTTACCGATAGGATTGAAGTTTGGGGCCCAGGGCCTTGGTATCTCCATGGTAGAGTACTCTAGAGGACCCCATACCCCAATCTCAAATCTCACTTCCTAACCAGAATCCTGAACTCACTCCAGAAGCCTCCCGAAGCCCTAGCTGCGGATTGTTTGCCTCCACGAGAGACGAGATCCGGATCTCTGGGCCAGGAGCTCAGAAGCAAAGAACCCTGTGGAATTGAAACTATATATTTTAATTACATTTATGGTGCGTGCTATAGGCTATAAGGCTAAGGAAAGGCTTTACTATTAAGGCGCTTAAGTGGGGCCCGCTTCCACAGGATCACTTCGAATCTGAAAGTTGGTACTTCGTAGCAATAAGATAACGCTCCACTGTCCGGCGAACCAACAGTTTCGGACTGACCCTTCGGCTCAATCGGCTGACGCGACCAATGAAGTCTTCGTCCTGAAAGCAGCAATAACTGAGCGGATTTGTTGCTTTTGTACCTTTGGAGGCCGAATCCAAAAGCCCAAGACTCAAGTGGTGCATGTTATGCAGTTTTGGCACCAGATTGTACTTGCATTCGCCCTTCGTATAAAAGATCTCGACCAGCTTGGCATAGCATTGTAAAAAATGCAGGGCTGCCTCTCCGGCTCGTTGTGCTTGCTCCGGCGAAAGCCAAAGTGGAGCCTGCAATAGCTCGCGCATGAAACATCCCAGCGCTTCACTCCCCGAAGACATAATCTGCAACATGCGAGATTGAGCAACATCGGCCGCATGCTGCTGTAGAATCCAGAGAACGAAGCCCACCAGCGTTGGTGTGTCACTGGCTTTATTCCAATGTCCTGTAGGGTACTTGTTGCTCGATGCGCACCCCAAAAGTTCGCGAGTCAGAAGTTTGAAGTGAATCTGTTTGCCAGTGGAAGCGCAAAACCTCTTCAAATCATCGTTCAAGGCCTCAAGTTTTTCAGGAAAGGTGTCGCCGTGGTACAGCTGCTCCAAAAGCACCGTCAAACTGCTCCCTGCGAAGTCCCTGCCCACGCCCAGATGGTATATATGAAGCAGGTCCAATTTGAAGAAGCTGCCGCGATCCTCCTGCACGTGTGCAGGGACGTGATTAAACAAGGGCGGCATGGTGTTCCACGGCAGGGCATTGTTCGCACCACACGTACTGAGCCAACGTGGCTGTGTGCCGAACTCCTCGAAGGGTATGTTCGGAGAGCCTGCCCCGCACATCCAGCAGCACCCCACCAGAGGCTTGCTCGAGGGCCTCTCAGGGGCCTTTCTTACATTCAAGAACGTGCGATTGAGATGTCCTGCTTTTGCCAAGAAAGGCAGATCTCCCTTCAATCCCACCACTAAGAATCGAAGGACTCGCCCGTCAAGAAGCTGCAAGCCTTCATAATACAGGGACTCGAGGTTGCGCATAGCTTCCAGCATGAAGGCATCAAAGACATCCAAAGAATCACGATACATCTGTTTCGGCATCACTCCAATCAAGAACCTGGTGGTAAAGCTGTGGCCTTGAAGGTTAATACCGGTGTTGTTGCCAATTCTGTTTGGATGCGAAACTCGAGACCCAAATCCCAAAACAGGCTGGAATTGAATGACCATCAGTTCATCCCGCTTGTAGGTACGGCCACCGTCCCCGTGAAGATATAGAGGAACTAAGCAGCTGTAGTCGATGAAATCCCCATGGTCGAAAACTTCGTGTGTTGGCTGTTCGCCACGGAAGTTCTCCCAGTACTCGGCCAGTCGAGAAGAGCCTAACCCAACCAACACACATGTTCTATGGAGACTACCGTAACCTAACCAGTGTTCTTCAGAGGGCAGGTGCTTTAAGCCTAAGGGTTTGGATAAGGCACTTTTACCAGAGCCTACTAGATTATAAAAAAACTTCGATCCTAAAACACTACATCATCTTCTTCACGAAAGCCTTAAAAGAAAGCTTTCCGAATCAGGTCTGTGGGGCAGCTGCTGACAGAGCCACCTAATAATTTGTTCAGATAGCCTTCATCTTGAAGAGTTCTAATGTAATCAGCTGGCAAAAGCATCGGAATCTTGCAGTCATTCGATAAGTCCACGTAGGTCAGTGGAACATTGAAGGTGAGCCCCCATCGTTTAACAACAGCTTGCAATGATTTCTCGGCATCATTCAACGGAGCTCGCGCCAGATCTTTTAAAGCCTTGCAAGAAGAGACGTCATCAGCAAAGGCCTTGGCGATGGTCGCGACGTGCTTCGCTGTGGCCTGGGCAATCAGGCAGCTGTCCGAGACGGGGATGGTGGTGATTTCTAGGCTTCATCCGAAACATGGGCACATACCGGCAACGATGCTTTTTGTTCGGATTCTCAGCATTCCGTCTAGCTTTTCGAATTTCATGCATGGGATCCGAAATATAGCCTGCCCACATCACACAGCTCTGCTTAGTTTCGGGCAGTATGGCTTGGGATTCCTTTTCCTAAAACTATACACACATGCATAGATCAAAGGCCTGAGGATTTACTTAACCCATCTAGGCAGGTCCGCCCTTGCAGCAGTGCAGTAGCAGTAGTACGGGAGCGCGAATTTGGGATTCCCCAACTTGTCTCTCATTCCTTCTCCACCCAGCACACCGTTGCGGCATTGCTGCAAACCTCTGTGATGAGAGATCAATGCAGCCTCGAGCATTTCAACGAAACCAAGGTCTGAACTCTCGAGCATGATGAGCATTTCAGTCCAGCCGTTTCTTTGGTACAGCTCAAAGCGGTCAATGTAGTGGTGTGTAATGCCAATCTTGTAAATGGCTAAGAATTCCCCACCAGTCCTCATACGAAGCTTCTGTATTGCAGTTTGGCAATGAGCAAGGACTTTTCCTGCTAGGCTACCAGGAGGAACCAACTCGAAGGTGATTCCAGTTGCCTGTTCAGGAAGATTTGGCTGTTTTGCAAACCTCTGCACCACAGGCTGCTCCGAATCATCATCGGCACTTTCGCTGTCCGAACCCCAAGGAAAGATGGCATCCAAAGGTCGTTTACGCGTCATTGGCAGGGAAGGTCGTGCTATTGCATTACCGTCGAATATAGGTCTTTGAGGATAGCTTTTGCATTTGAGGATAGGCTACTGTGCTTTGCATATACATAGTCGAGAGACATTGGAAACTGCATGTCCTGGATCTTGAAACCCTCGATCTGTAGATTACTTGCGGCGAGCAGGGCAGCAACACGAAACATCATCAGCATGAAATCCTACGAACAACTTGGACTGCTTTGAAAGCACGGATGAAGAGCAACTGCGAAATTCAGATCTTGATTGGGCTGATGCTTGGCTGAGGCATCGGCGCCAGATCCCAAAGTTCTCGCCAACGTGTGGGCCCGATCGGTTACAGCGTCTGTCCCACCTGGCTGTTGTGCTTCTGGACTAGCGGGCTTAACTATTTCACTATAGTTGTGGCTTGGCTGGGACCGCTTCGAGGTTTAGCAAATGGCTCGTGGGCTTCAGGATTCCAGAACCATCTGGAGCAAGAATTCAGAAAGTAGATTATCGACGGGTGTACACCAAAAAGACTAGGGTTTGGGTTTAGGGTTACCAGCTCGGCTTCGCGAATACAGCTTGGGCTCAGGGGCTGGCGGGTTTAACTTCGGCCAACAGACCAGCTAAGATTTCAGTTTATGAGGCCTTGGATAAGTTTGGGGTCCCCGATGTTTTGTTGGTGACCTATCGGGTTTGAGTATCGGGGGCATTCGAGATTGTGGTTCAATAGAACATCATCGAGGACTTTGAGATTATGAGGTTGAACAGAGCATCATCGAGGACTATCTAAAGCTACTGAGGTTCAGTTCTTATGCATGCAAGGAGCGGTACAATAAGGGCTGCTATAGCAATCCAAGCCATCATGTTCGACCGTAGCTTGATCACTGCATGCTTTTCCCCAGTGAAACGAGCTGTGAAGGCGGCCTGACTGACACTGACTTCCTGCATTTGCAGCCCCAAAACTCTTCCATCCCGATAAGACCCGAGTAGACCAGAAGGGTAAGCTCCAGAACTCTTACAGCCCTAAATTAAATGACCCGACTAGACCATAAGAGTAAGCTCCAAAACTCTTACAGCCCTATAAGACCCGACTAGACCAAAAGAGTGCAGGACCTGCCAGCACATGTCATTCAGGTCATAACAACTTTGAGATGCACATGCATCCATGTGCATCCTTCACTCGGCCTGTTCCCCGGCCAACGCAGTTTTGAGCATTCTGTCGCTTACTTTGTAAGCATCGGAGATATTCGGTTTAAGCCTTAAATAGGGGTTAGTATTAGGGGTCCCATAACTTCACGTTGTTGGGGGTCAGGTTGTCAGGATTGTATTTCGGGGACTTTATACATCTATAGAGTCAGACAGACTTGCTGCAAATGTGCGTTGGGAAACTACTCGGGCAACAGAAGAAAAGTGCTAGAATAAAAGTGCTGCGAAGTCACAAGGATCTTCCCTGCGATCATCTAGGCAGCTCTAGGCGCTAGCGGTGTTTTTGTTTTTTGGTCTCTTGCCCCTCTTGGGGTTCGGGGTTGATGTCACACCTTCGGGCGGCTTGGTTTCGCCGGCACCTCGCTTGGGCGTATCCTTCTTTTTGAGCTTCCTGGGTAGGGGCAGCGTATTCATTGTTACAGAACTTCTGAGGCGAGCATCGGACACTTCAGGCTAGTGGCTTGTTCTTCACCTCCAACGATGTAGCCAAAACCATCCTCGGTGAGTCACATGTAGACCTATGGAGGCATTCAGGTTTGCGGGTAGGGGTGGATGGATCTAGGATTGAACACTGCATGCATGTATCTGATGGGGATCTCAGATCTGTTGAGATGGCATGAATGCATGCGAGAATCTGTCGCTTGACATCCTCGCACTTGGAATCGAGGTCCCTCCTTTGCCTCGGCTGTCATGCCTGCGAAGCCTCACTCTCAGCTATATACAGACATGGGGAATTAAATCAACATCCGGGCTTAAAGGGGCAGGTTGCGAATCACTGAACTTCTTGATCTTGGCCTCGGCCTGTAGCTTGGCCAGCTCGTCGTACAATGCTCCCAGGGAATTGATCACGTCATTCATCTTCTTCACCTCCCTGAGTAGCAGAGCTGTGGCAATCAACAAACCGTGTAGGTATCGTGGCTGGTTCGGAATTTCCATGTGCATGCACGAGTGTTGTATCGGATCACAATTGTAAGTGTCGCACTGTGCCACGGCAGTGTCCCGCGTGTCAAGTCTCCCGACAAACTTCGCCAGCTTGTCTCTGCACGAGACAGACTCTTGCATATGGCGCAGGATGTTTTCTGGTGCCTGAGATATTGCATGCAGTGGCCCTACCAAAGTAACTAGAACAGCTGACGACAGCACCCTAGGAAGCAAGCCGCGGTGCTGAGTCCTTACCACTCTCCACCTCACAGGCGTTCACACCCTTTAGATTCCACTCCTGGTCCAGGCCCTCCGGCACGAAGCTGTCCGCCATGCTGGACACCTGGCCTTCGGCAGTTGTCGAATCTTTCACGTGCTCGCTTTCACGAGTCCCACGGGTGCCGCTTGTCCTTTTGTCGCACCAGTACTCAATCTCATCCGCATCGTACTTGCACTTCCTTGGACATTACACTGGGTTGGGTTCGTTTGTTCAGTCAGACAATTAAAGGGAGAGACAGGCACAGAGAGAGCGAGAGAGAGAGAGAGAGAGAGAGAGAGAGATTTAGAGAGAGGAAGAGAGAGAGAGAGAGAGAGAGAGAGAGAGAGAGAGAGAGAGAGAGAGAGAGAGAGAGAGAGAGAGAGAGAGAGAGAGAGAGAGAGAGAGAGAGAGAGAGAGAGAGAGAGAGAGAGCGAGGGAGAGCGAGAGACGGAGGGACCGGGAGAAGTAAAGAGTCTCGGGAAGCAGAGAGAGGGAGGAAGAAACGGATTGTGCATTGCAGAAATTAGAAAGTACACTGAAATTGCAGGTTCGTGGTCCTGGATTCGAAGGGCACAAATTTCAACAGAACACAACATCGCCCTAGAATAGATGCCCTGGCACTTGCACAACATCGAAACATTGTAATAACCGTTACAAACCATTAAGAACACCGTAACTCTTAATATGCCAAAATCCCACAACAAACAAGACCCAAAGGACCTCAAGCTGAAAACACTTTCAGCCCCCACCCCAGCTATCACACAAACGTCGACCAATCTAAAGTCGAACCCGACACCCTGTGGAAGCTTGAGATTTACAAACTACCCTGGGCCGTGCATAGCAGACACCAGAACAAAGCCCAATACATCCCTGGGTCGTAGTCTATGTTAGGTCTGAAGTGCAGAAGCATCTGCATAACACGAGGTTCGCCTCAGCTAAGCCCTAGAGAGCCTAAGCCAAAGAACCCGGGACACTACTGGACAAAACCACACTAAACCCTCTGACACACTCACCCCTAAACTATTCTAAGAACCCAGCCCCACAAAACCCTGTGCCCAGATCAGATGCACCGAAGCGGCCGTGTGTGCCCTGGGTTCGCCTCGCACCAAGCCTTGATCTGCGTGATCCGCTTCCTTGGGAAAGTGGCACTCTGCTGGGTTGTTGCTAGGTTTTGGCTTTTATGGATGGGGATACCTATAGAACGATTTCTTTGGGCTTTCGTTAGATTAACATTTTAGACACACAGATGAAGCCTAGAATCTCCTTCAGACCCAGCCCGCCCTCGCTGACTGGCTTCTTCATGTCGGCTTCGGAGTAAAACCCGCCTTCTGTGGAGAGTTCACGGAATGTTTGGGTCTCCTTCCAAATCTCGACTTTGCGCATGAAGTCCTCCTCGGTTATGGCATTCGGCGGCTAGGCTCCGCCTAAAGCTTTGGCACCCTAATCCTAAAAACCCTTTGGATCCTGTAACCTAACTTAAGGCCGATTCCTTTTATGAGTTTCAGGAGTCTCGCACTCCACCGGCTTCGGTCATGATCGAGATCAGGTCTTCCCGAGGTCGACCCTTTTGAAGCCACAACTTGTGGATGTCCTCACTAACCTGAAGCTTGCCTGTTGCTGTACGGGAACAGAGCCTGCCCGTCTTGGCCCTCATTCGGTTGTACAAGGCCAGGTCCTTGGCATCCTCATCCCCAGGGTCCTGCCGTTCAGAGCTTTATCGTTATAGATTAATGTTCGGTGTACAAAGTACAAGCAGGTGGCATCAGATGGGTACAGACAAATCCCTCGTGTGTCTGGTAATCTCTGGGTAAACAACGACTATAGGACAAACTTGGGCTGTCGAGTGGCTGCAACCAAGGGACAGAAGTAAATGTAGGTGGATCAAAAACCCTGAACCACGAAAGGTTGTCCAGTCTGTCTACGAGTCCAATGCCACGAAAAGCCCAAAAACTCGATCCATGAACCCAAATATGAGCTTTAATGTTTCTCTCCTCCTTTGGCCCAGGCTGGCGAGTCTGGGGAGGCTTGGCCGGCTTGGTTCTGCTTTTGGCAGCCTCTGCCAGCTCGGCGTCCAGGCGGCGGGTAATCGGGGGTCTAGCAGACGAAGGATTCTTCAGACGTTCAAGCTCCATTGCTTGCTCCTGAATCTTTCTCAGCAGCACATCACGTTCCTCCTTAGCTGTTGGGTGCGCAGGCAGATAGAATCAATAAGAGAGGCCCTCAAGACGAGACTGCCATGCTTCCAGTGCAGCACGGATGCAGTCTTGCCGCTTACACGGCGCGTAGGCGTGTAGTGCTTTGTCTGGGGGGTACTGTGCTGTTGCTCACTCGGGCTTGGGGTCGGCTTCGTGATTTCTGTCTTGGCTGGCTTCTGGGGCGTGGCCACTGCACGTTGGTGGGTCTCCAAAGCTTTCCTCAAGTCCTGGGATCAGAAAGACTGGAGATTCCGCCAGAGCGAAGACATAAAGGCAGAAATGGGCAAGAGCTACTAAGTCAAGTTACTTCCGGAGACATACGCTCGTCATCATCAGAAATCGAGAAGATTTCATAGTCATCCGTTTGGGCACGATGCAGAGGACTATCCTGAGCACGAGTCGCACATTCAAATCGTTTACTAGGATTCGAGCTTTCGGGAAACATGTATGTTGCCATACACAATAACCGAGCTACCTTTCTCGCCGGCTGAGAAATGTAAGGGGCTCCTGACGATGAAGGTGCCGAACACTTCAAGCCTGCTGCGAGCAGCTCGTCATCAGTGGCCCGGATCGTGGCTGGTGGGGATGAGCTCTCAACAGCCAGAGCCATTTGATCTTCCAACTCCTGCAATCAATAGGTAAGATCTAAGAAGGTGGATTCGAAGAGCCAAAGTCCCTTTAGTGCCAACCAATGGTCGCATGCTCAGTGCATCCTGGGTGTAACTAATTGAAACAGACTTCAATCGATGGGTGGACTGGGGCTCCTTGACATAGGCTTGGAGTTCTTCTGGGTCATCAGGCAGCTCGTCTTTCACCATCATACCAGCAACTCCGTCGAGCATGGTTTGCCCACTCCATGCTCTACTGATAAGTTTCTTTGCCACAGCAAGAGTAGCGATAGCACCGCTGTCCATCACCGCAAGCAGCCCAACTAGTCTTCACCTAGCTGGCCTGTAAACTCTCAAAAGCCTGCCAGACAGGAGATCAGACAGACCCCAAACGTGATATCAGCCCCAGACCCCCTAGCTACTTTCGGGGTTTCCAAATGTACGCCTTTTTCCGGGCGTTGTACGCATTTTGTACGCCTTTTGCGCGGGTAATTCCGGGCGTGTTGTTTTGCGAAAACCAGTCGCGAGGCTAGGGTTTAGGGGTTTACAGGCGTTCTAGCAGGAATTACGGGCGTGCAGGGTGTATTTACGGGCGCCCAAGTCACACTTACGGGCGTATTGCTGCACATTTACGGGCGTTCCTCCTAAATACGGTCGTTCTAGCCTTCAAAACCACAAGAATAGTGCCAAAAGCAGCAACAAACATCGCCAAAAACCTAACCAAACTGAAAGGAAACAGCCGCCAGCTACACAAAACCCTTGGAAATCCAGCCCAAAGAGTCTTCCTAGCCCAGGAACCACCTCCGAATCTATAGATGAAGAATCTCGATAGGTGCCCTGCTACCTTTTCAGTGACCCTGCTACCCTCAGCCCCGAAACCAATACCTGAATCATGTCAATTCACGGCATCGATCGAGGTGGCATGCTACTGCATCCATGGTGCCTACAAGAGAATCGCCCTGCCGATGGAGGCACAAACTAGTCCACTATGTGCCATGCATGGATGTTCTGCAGAACCTGGCAAGGCCATTGTTCTTTTCTCGAATAGTGCATTGCATGCTACGATGTCACTACACGCCACAGGCATGCAGCATGCCCACTATGTTGATAAACACAGTATGAATTTGCAGCTAAGATCATTGCTAACCAGACCTGAGAAATACATCTAACTATCGGTTGGTATCAGCGGACGCCACTCAGCAGGAATTCGTAACCCCCGGCAGCCATACAGATAGTGTACCACTTCACGAAGGTTGGCATCCCCACAGTCATCACTGTAGGTGGCCCCTGAAAAGCAAGCTCGAGCAGTACTCCCATCAACCCGAACTGGAACCGGCGGCAAGTCCAACTGGAGGTAGCGGAAGACCTGAACCAATCTCGTTGCCAGGCCACGAGGATACTTCCTGGGTGACATACAGAAGGCCGATCTGGTCTGGGGTGGCAAACACTTGACAATGGGTTCTATCTATATTCCCTACGTAGTTCGACTTGACCGATACCTGTCCAATCCGGCGCACTAGCCCTCTAAATTCTTGCGAACTAGATCTCGCCTATATGGTTGGAACGATTGAGTTTGTGCATTGTGCAGAGAAGTATTCTCAAGGACACAGACTAATAACCATCCCAGTTGCACACATGCCTGTTTAGGGGACCAGGAGTTTCTAGTATCAGGCAAGCACAGAAAGCCAACCCACAAGCTTAGTAAGTAGGCCTAGAACCTCGATGCAGCTCAGGACCCCAGAATTAGAATGATTCTATTTCTCCAAAATTGACCCTGTAAAACCGTCACATTATGTATGGTAGATGCTTCCCGCTGATCCTGTATAGAACTAAAGGGTTAAAGCCACGGGGCTTTGAATCAAGGTTTGTTCTGATCCTCATTGAACGACTGCTGTATACAACTTATAGATGTATGCATGGATAGCATTGGATTTGGATATTTGGGTGCAATTACAGAGGGCCTATGTCTATGTCGAACAACAGCGCCCAGAATTGGACGGCATCTGAAGTGGCTGATCTGAACCTTGCCCTTTGTTTGAGATACTACTAGGTTTGGGGTCCTGGTTTGAAAACCTTTTGCTCTAGCCCTGCGATCTGTAACTTGCTGTACTATAACCTCGAACCCCGAAAGCTCAAGACCTGGAAGAGAGAAACCATTAACCCCGATAAGCCACGGGCCCTAAACCCTACAAATTCTCCTCTGAGCAAAATCCATAAGTCCTTGACTCCGAAAAGACCAGGCAAGCAAAACCGAGACAAAGCCAACACAACCAAACGATAGTTATTGTTAACATAGATCGAAGCAAGCTGCTGTGTTGACTTCAGATCTCTGGTGCCCTTCCAACAAGCCCGGCCAACTGCATCCGTATAGTGAACAGATGTCTTTATGACACGTCCCCGGCGCCCTTGCCGATTCCGGAAGTCCTTCAGGCTGAACCTCTGGCTGGAGCAGAAGCCGGAAACCTTTGAAGTGCTGGACCACAGAGTCGTTGGCTTAGGGGTCCGGGAGCCAAACTGGCCCATCCATATTCCGATCTTGTACACCTTGAGGGGATGGGCACTTTACTGCATGCAGGATTGCTGCACTTCAAATCATGTTACGGCTTTTGATGACAACTGAACAATTGGAACATATTGAAACAATCATATCGCCTTATATGTAGTTTCGTCTGCAGATCCTGACCTTGAAGCACTGACAAACCCAGCGCATTCTTGGGTGTCGGAAAATTAAACTACTTCGTGGCTGCTCCAGAACCCAATTCCCACCGGCCGCGACGATAAGAAGCAAGAGAAAGGAGCTCCTGAGCCAGCAGTCCCAATTAGGATCTTAAGTCTTAAGGTCTTAAGGGTCAGAGATTACATGGGACAGGCCTACGGGGTGGCGCAACCTGAAAGGTTCAGGGTGTATCTTTACGTAAGGCGTATGGGAGCCTTGGCCCCGTTGTGGGGGGTTGGGGGCTTCAGGGCTTCGTTTTGTACGAGAGCTGTGGATTTTGCTGCAACCTAGATACCGCGAGGCCATCTGATTTCCATCATGTACAAATGGATATTCATCATAGCCTTCAGGTATGACCCAAGATCTTCTTGTTGAACCACGAGAAGCATCCACCCAAGAGCCGCAAACCACTGCCAACCAGCTGACAAACCCACTGGAGCGACCGTTGAGGATCGAAGTCATGAATGTCCTCGAGAGAGACTCACTGAACACTGGCATGTAGTGTGTAACGTTTGGAAACAACACACACACACACACACCTCACAAGCAGAGCGCCATAAGATCCCATAAATCAGAGACAAGTGTCGCATAGCCGGAAGGCAGTAGTATGTTCATACCACGGCATTTGTCTATGTCCAGACTTGCAGCCCTGTAACCACTGGATTTGGCCTCCCGAGCCAATGTAGCAGATCCTGCGAAAAGTTCGATGAAGTCGAGGTCCTGCAGGTAGCCAGGATTAAAATATGCAAGCCGAGCGATTATGTGAGACATGCAAGTGTTATGATTAACCCTCGCATAGGGCAGGCACCTTGTCAAAGGAGAGGTCATGGTTCCAAAGCAGCAGAAGGACACATAGCACGAACATCTTGGATGATCAAAGAGACAGGGAGCAGCAGGTTCACCAACCGCAAACAAGAGTCACACTCGAGGTAGTCCCCAGCACGTACTATATACTTGGGTCAAGCAGCTTTCGGTGCGCCAAGGCCGAGAAGGCGCGGGACCAAAACATCGACATTGGGACGAGGCATCGTGCGATCACTAGGATTGAGAGATCGACTGTTTCCGACCGAGTTATCCACCAAACCTCTTGATCCAAGACACCTAGTGATAGTCAGTGCCACCAAGCGGCATCTGTAGCGGTTTAGGGGTTTAGGGCTCCAGGGTTGTGGGGCTGCAGGGCTTCCCGGCTTTTTAGGGTTGTTGATCCTACAAGTGTGTTCTTGTTCTTGGAGGACAGACATGAAACAGCTCTGTGACAACAACTTGCAAGCAATCCATGACATCCTTTTAAGTGACCATGCAGCGCAGTCTTCATGCACTCGATCAGCTCCCCTCCCCCTGAAGTCCACAATCTATCCCAACTCATGCCAGGGACGCCTGCCTGCACTTGAGAGCTGATCGCACCGTCCCTGCAGAGGCCTCGCTTTCCTCGAAGAGACATGATCAGGATCTGCGCACACCTGCATGGCATCTTGTGTTGAGGGAAGAGAAAAGAGTGAGACGTGCCACCGCATGTATCGAGTACATGCACAGAGTCAGAGTGTATAAGCTGTGACTCACAGAAGCACTCGCACATGCCACAAGACCCCCACACCACGATGTTTTTTCACAGCACCCATTGCAGCAGGAAGCGGTCTGCACACATCGGCGTCTCCAGCTCAGGTTCATTTCTGCATGGTAGCAGCCCGGCCGTTCTTCAAATTAAAGAAAGCTTTGGCAAGCAGCTTCACAAGCAATCTAAGTGGCGGAGTCTCAGGGCTCCCCAACATGAACCGCGGAGAGGCTCAGGCCACACTTGCTTAAGAGCTGCCACCCCCGGAACACAGAATCTAGACAAAATTTAGTTGCACAGCCGTAGCGATCTTGTGCCTTCACTCATCGGAACTCTCATCGCCCTCACGCTCCACCTGCACAGGCAACTGCCCTATATCATAAGACTGCATGGAGGACTTAGGTCTAGGAATTCGGTAATTGGTGTATGTAGGCAGAACTTAAACATTATGCAATTCAGGGCTTAAGGCTTAAAGCAGGGTATTGTAAGAGGCACTTTACAACCACATTGTAATCCGGACGGCATCCATCGGAACTATGTAGGGGCGCACAAGGCTCGATCGATTTTTGGCAGTGGCACTTAGTATTATAAGGTATTACGAGAACATAACCCTCCCAGCTGCAAAGGCAGCCGAATATAGTCAATGTGACCCGGATCCTAGGTCCCCGAAGCCACAACCTTCCAAAGCAACTGTTCGTATGAGGTTGGGATCATGTATAGGACTATAGGACCTTCAAGCTAAAGTAAGGTTTGGAGTGTGCGTGTGTGCGTGTGTGTCGAATTCAGCGAAGTGTGGGTATGAATATCGAACCACGAACTCTCAAGCGAAGCCTTTAATCCAAACCCTAAGCAAACAAACCTCTTAGGTCTTGTAAATGTACTGTTAGTATAGATCGAGCTTAACACACGAAGGGACTTGGGTTCTCGTTTGTGGTACCCCGGGCCTCGAAGCGCAGAATGAAATCACGGACATAGAACTGAGCCTGCTCTGCAAAGAACTCATCACCACCGGGGCGGAAGATGTCAATGTCGTCATCGACGAAGTTCTTCTTGGCAAAGGTCCAGTATTCCAACTGAGCCAGGAGGGGTTAAGTTTCTTTGCAAAACCAAATGTTGTCCGATCCCCCCAGCTAGACACTAAACCGTCGGACATGAACAAACTCTGTTGTTTTGACCTGGCCACCACGAAAACCTCCCAACTGCCTTTTTAAAACATCTCGCCTCCTTCTTGCTGCGTGTGCGGTCACGGATGTTGGGGGCAACGAACTCAATGAACGACCTAGCGATGTAGCGCCAAAGATGCCACCCCTGGCTCTGCTCCGTCTTCGGACAGAACCTGCCAGCAAAGGTCTTCGGGTAGTCGAACACGAAGCTACCGTCAGGCTTCAAAAGAGCACCACCATTCTCCATGATAGCCTGACAGCCTCTCGCCTTGGCTTTGGCTTTCGGACCGACATTGGCTTTGGACTTCGGATTGGCCTCGGCTTTGGCCTTCGGACTGGCCTTGGCTCCGGCTTTCGGATTGGCCTTGGCTTTCGCCTTCGGACTGGCCTTGGCTTTCCCCTTCGGAGAGGCCTTGGCTTTCCCCTTCGGAGAGGCCTTGGCTTTGGCCTTCCTCTTGGGCACAGCCGGCTTTCGCGAGTGGTCCAAGGACTCAGCCTCACCACCTGAGTGATCACCCGCTGGAGCCCCATCTGCATCATCAGCAGCATGCACTGCAGACTCATCGTTATCAGCTGACTCAGCAGGCACTGCATCGGTAGCACACTTCACCTTCTTCGCTTCCTTGCTGCTTTTGCGCCTGAAAGAACGTCGCTTCTTGAAGCCACCTCGGCGTGTCCTCACGCCACGCGGCTGATCGTTGGGCTCGGCCTCCAACCACGCGCTCTCCTCCGCCAACAAAGCTGGCGTGAGCACGGTGCTTTCAGCCACCGGTGCCTCCGAAGCCTCACTGGCTTTCTTGGCACCTTTGCTTGAAGATGCCTTCGCCTTTGCTTTTCCCTTGGCTTTCGCCTTTGCAGACGCCTTGGGGCCTGCACGTGCTTTTCCACGCGGCCTGCCCGGGCCCCGCTTCTTAGGCTCAGCCTGCTCATCATCATCAGCAGCGGCATTGCTGCTCTTCAAAGCAAGCTGATCGCTTCTGGTGAGAACCTCAACCACACAACGAAATCACTCATACGACCGAAGCTCACCAAAACCCTGCATCACTGCTTTTGTGGGATTTCTGGGTTGAGCTGGGAATATCACAACCATGCAATGCATAAGTCGAGTTAGGGAACTTTGCTCGGCGGGGACAAAGCCATGAACTTGTGCTCCTTGTTCACTTTGGCTGAAGAAGAAGGTGGCACGGCCTCCGAACCCTGGGCGCTGGTATCTGGAAAGAGCTCCCGGGGCTTTGGGGGGGACGCGGTTCCGGAGTTCATGGCCATGATCAGCTTCTCCTCATCCCACAGTGGCTCCATCAGCGCTTGGGTATCCGGGTCATACGTCAAGGTCTCTTGGTTGTCAACACTGACACTGGGAGCACACTCAAGCGGGGGAGCGGAGCCATCGTCATCCGAATCGGCAATGACTTCAGGAACAGCTCCTTTGAAGCACTGAAAAGCAAACACGAAAAAATTAAAGACCATCAATAAACGAAATTTACGGAAAGCCCCACATATAATGACAAGTAGCTCGTGACAGTGACCGTCTTTGCCATGTGACGCTTCCTGGAATAGAAAAATACACCGAAATCAAAATGTCTGCGTGCTACAATCATGAAAGACAGGCTGGGCATACGATTCATCAACAAAGCCCTCAAGGAACAAATCATGTCGCAGCAAAGCTTCACAAGTTGGGCTTTCAGCTTGGCCCGGCTCATTGCAAGCTTGGCTTCCAAATCGGCCAAGAGTGGTCGGGCAACCTGCCTCTGTGATGACATTGCATCCTTGCACAACGCATCCTTGCGAACCACCTTAGCCTTAGACCTTGAACGTTGGTCCATAGTCGTGGCCACAAGCCGCGAACCCGAAGATGCTGAAGCCTCACTTTCCATTGCCACCCGCCCCGAAGGTTCTGAAGCCTCACTCGTCAATGCCACGGGCCCCGAAGATCCTGAAGCCTCCGTCTCCATTGCTGGTCGCCCCGAAGATCCTGAAGCCTCCGTCTCCATTGCTGGTGGCCCCGAAGATCCTGAAGCCTCACTGACAATTGCCAGCTGCCCCGAAGATTCTGAAGCCCGACTTTCCACTGCCATCGCCAGCCCCGAAGATCCTGAAGCCTCAGTCTCCATTGCCACCAGCCCCGAAGATCCTGAAGCCTCAGTTTCCACTGCCGCCAAATGCTCGCCAACATCAGCATCTTGAACAAGCCCTGCGTAACAGAAGAGCTGGTTAGCCTGCATATCAGCTGTGGTCATTGGAAGAATCCGGGGCCCTGCTCCCGTTTCCACTGCCACCGGCTCTGAATTCGAAGCCACGGCATCGGCAATCGGCGATGCAATCGAAATGTCATCGTCTGATGACTCTCGACGAATGATGCTGTGCCCTGCCTTGGTTGCACTGCACAAGTTTAGATCAAACCAAACACCACACACACGAACAATTTTAATGATCAAAGTCTGTAGCTGAAATTCCTTGAACGATTATCAAGGAACAGCAAGTGCAGCTTCGCAGATGCTATCGTACATCGCAACCAACTTCTTCACCTTCTCGTCCTACAACATACGGTTGACTGCACTGACTACGAATCTATCTGAATCGATCGATGTACAGTCTGCATAACAATATGACAAATGAATGAATGCACCCCTCGCGGTCCTTCGGAATCTCGTTGCGGGCCCACTTTCTTCTCAAGAAAGTCAAGCATCGCTTGGCACTCCAAGCATCACGGTGCGCAAAACACAACAAAGCTGACTTGTCAGGGAAATTTGCCATCTCGAGAAATTCCTTGCATGCATCACTGAGGCCGTCGATGGGAGGTGTCTCCACTGTGAGGCATTCGTGCATGAGCTTTAAGATACACATGAGGGCCTCGAAGTTTTCGGAGCAGTCCTTCAGGTTGCCTGAGCATTGCGTTTGCCCCGCAACCGTCGAGGCAAACACTGCCTGCCCACGCGCTGCGTGCATGCGCAGCTTCCGCTCATTCTCCCAAATCCCCGCCAATTTGGACAGGTCTGCATGTCTTTTGACCATGGCTAGCCAAACGTCGATCTCAAAATGATATCTCTATTTGCGCAACAGCCCAAATGGCTCGTGAGAAAAGAGTTGCATGGAAATCAGCAATGCTTGAAACGATGAAATCTTTCATAAGTGCTCAAAAGCCAATCAAGCTGTAAGCCTGACCGATGTTGCCGTACTCCATCACCCCTATTTGGTATTCCTACCAGAAAAGCTCAACCCTATAGCCTATATAGTAAAGAAATCCTAGGCTCGAATCCTTTTATATAAGATCGACTTAAACTTAAACCCTATACATATAGTAACCCTTAACCCCTAAACCCTGAAGGCCCTTAAACCTCGAATCCGAAACACTGAATCCTTAAGGCCTATAACACAGCCCCTTAAGACGAAGCCCGAATCGGGCCTTCCCAAGGCCAAAGATGACCCCACGACGGCGCACGTCCTGCGCAGCGAAAAATGGGGCTTAGAGGGATATTGGGGTTCCATATATTCAGAAAGTATCTGCTGAGTGTAGGTTCTAGGACTCGGAAAGAAACCTCCGATTTCAGAAAGCGAGATCTTGTTTATGCAATCATATCCCATGGGTCTCTGATTATCCGATATAAAGCTGCATTCTTCCCGCCCAAATCCCATTCGGTCCTCTCGATCGAAGTGGTGCACCAGCAGAATCAGGACCCAGAGGTCGTTCGTTCCATTTCAGCTTGGAAGCTGTGCTTCGACAAAGGTTGAACTTATCTTCATGCATCAAGTCAATATCACCAAGTCTGAACCATCCTTGTATTGATCTTGGGTTTAAGATCACTGGTAAATACGGGATGTAGGGTTTGCAGAAAGTCTTATATTCATAAGATAGGAAATGTCCAGCAATTCGGGGCATCCTGTGCTCTTGAGACCAGATCTTTCGACCATCGTGCGATGCCAAGTGGAAGCTGGACCTCCTAATCTGTCTTCGATCAATCACCAAGATATTAGCCTGAATCAACCCCCCCAAAAACCCTCAACACCCTGGATTCATTGGTTTTTGCAGGCGTTCTGCTGTTTACGGGCGTGGGTGTCTAAAACCGGTATTTAGCATCATAGCAATACATAACCCAGTTATTACGAAATAACGCTTTATTAAAAGTCGTTTGCTGTCATAGGGAGAATAGTTCGTACAGGCCAGCAAGTCTGCATTGCAAGCGCCCGGCAGTAGTTGTGGCCTCAAGACACCAGGCCCATGCACTATGATTCTTTCAAACCTGTGCCGGCGGGGAATTAAAAATACAGCAGTTATTTCTGTGAGATTTGACGGGCTTGCGGCAGGAGCACTGGCATCTCTGTACGTCCCGCTCCGGTACATTCCCAGGCCCAATAGCCCAAGACCTCGTGCCATGCAGGCAGATTGTAAGATATTAGCATTAGGTCGTCCAGCCGCAAGTTCACAGACTGAAAAAAATGCTGGCACACCGCTTGCACATTTACATGTATTTTTCTTATGTTCGGCGTCCATTCATGGACTCTACTTACGAGTCTGCCCTTTCCATCCTGTTAAGTCATTCGCCACTTTATCGAGGATCGCGCGGCGGCAGCTTATTTCCTCGTTTTGGAAGGCTTGTGATGCAACTGTTTGTTTCGGCTTCGCATAGGTTTCAGCATACACGCCGGATGTAGGATCACCCAAACAGTTTCTCTGGGTACTACATCGGGCCTGTACAAGTAGCTGAGCATGAGGCACGCGTACGTTCATCCCGATCATGGCATTTACGACATGTCGGCGGTCGTTGATTGAGATCAGCTGGGTCAAACTCCAAATGTATCCTTCTACCGCTTTGTTTCCGGGATGCAGGGCTTTTCTCCCACAAGTGGTTTTTTCCCTGCATCGGACAGTGACCCATGAGAAGAACTGTCTGGAGACACCACACCCTGAAAAGTGGCTTAATGCGTAAACTCTTTGCAGAGGGTGCTTATCGACTAATGGAACGTGGCAGCCAGCATGTTCCAGTTGTCACAGAGCGTGGGCGCATTCGGGGTGCTCGTAATTATGATGTGCCTCTTCCCTCGAGCAGCACTGCCAGGCTGTTTCAGATCCGTTGGGCAGTGAGGCCGGCGAACAGCTTCATACGGCAACGAGCGTATGTGCTGAAGGGGTCATTTGCAAACTTGTTGATGGTCACATGCCCTACATTGCTTCAGAGGAAGCCTCGCCCCCTCCTAGAAACCAACATCGAAGCTGGAGGCACGCCAGCCGCGCCAGTACGACATGTCGTGCGCGGACGAGCCGAAGTCGGGCCGTCACGACATCGAGGAGCCTTCGGGTTTAGGGAGCCTGGGCCCGCAAACATGGTCAACGCCTGCCCCAGCGCATGCGCAGACCCCGCAGATGGCCAGCACAAGAAGGGTCTCGGCGGCCCCGGCGGCGTTCGGCCGCTCAAGAGCCCAAAGAGGTCGGAGCCAGGCACATGTTGGTACCCGGTTCAGCATGCTTTTGCAGGAGCATTCATTGTTTTTTCAGCCATCAACCCAACCTCCCTGTCGGTTTCCGATTCAGAGACCATTGGTCAGCCAGCAGTTGCGACGGGCTGTGCATGCCAGCGATCCGTCGATTACCCGTTCAGACATTTCTGAGCCCCACCCTTCCGAAGCCAGCCGCAGCTGTTCCAACGCTGGTCACCATGGCCACACCAGACAAATTCTTCGGAATAGGGCTGCCTTCAACGCCAAGAGCGCATGTCCGTGCAATTCTGTTAGCAAGTGCGGAACGTGCAGCTGCAGCTCTGAAAGTGTTGCCTTCGTTTAGAGAGAGCTCACTTCGCTGACTTCGCTGCTGAGCCAAAGTGTACATGGGATTCAGGATGCTGACCGATGGTTTGAAGCACCAGACAGACAACATCAAACTCTTCTCCGGCAGACTGGCCTACGTGCCATGTGCAACACGAAGCCTGGCCAAGACACATGCTTTGTTGAGCTATGGCTTCCGTCGCGATCGTCGCCTGCACCTGTTACCGTGGGGAATGTGCATACATGATCCACACCATATTGTCGTCGCTAGTGGCTTTGTGCTGCCTTCCCCCACGCCTCGTTGCCACGTAAGGCACAGAATCTTTACGATCCCCGACGAACGCGGATCAGATAGCCTACGTTCGGTGCTGCAGCATGCGTGCATGTTTTTGGGACCCGGTGCAAGTCCTGGAGGAGGCCGATGGAAATCGGAAGGGTCGGACACACCCAACCAGGCGTTTTGTTACTTGTGGAAGTTGGGAATGCTGGATGCTGGAGAAGTCTACTCGTGACTGCTTTGCTGTTCCTGACTCGGCATCTTTTGCGCTGGGGTCATGTCCTGCAGCCGACAGAAGAAGCACCACTTTGGCACCCGAGTTGAGGGGGAGACGTGTGACATGGCGAACTTACTTAGAATGATGTGCCCACCCGCCACTCGTTTGCGCCCCCGAGGTGTAGTGCATCTGGGCAACCCAACTGTGCTTTGGAGACAGCTGATGAAGACGATGAAGTGCAGTCCCTTTGGGCTCCCGGCTTCAAAAGAGTCTAGGCGCGGCGGCTTCTGCGAAAGAAGTACATGCAAGTAAGAGGGGGCAGAGAACAGCCATGTGCGAGGGTCACTTGCGAACGAAACCTAGGTCTCATGGTGTAGTCTGAGAGGGAGCTGCGATGTCATTGCCCCGGAATGTTCGGACTCAATGCAAAGGCTCTCTGTCGGACCTTAAGAACTGCAGCCGCCGGACATCGACCGAAGCAAGTTGACTTTTCAAGGGCTTGTCATGCCCAAAGCCTTCGTTTTGGAGCTTTCCAAGTTGGGATGTAACACGTGGCCCATATGTTGGAGCTCTGATGAGAAGGACAATCGTGACAATCATTGCCTGAAAGGTGTGAAATGGTGTGAACTGAGCTGTTGTGCGCAAGCTTCTATCGACTGCAGCTTTGGCTATGAGATACGACATGGAGGGCTGAGGTAGGCCCCAACAGGAAGCTTGTTTTAACTTTGGGCCGCCAGTATGCAAGGCAGTAACGATGGGGCTGGGGTTGGATTTCCACAGATTCTTTCGCACAGCCGTGAGTTATGGGCCATAGGTGACTGGCCATGGCTTTGCGGTTGGATGTAGCAAGGATGTCGCCGCCAGGAGGGGTCTTAGGAGCCCGTTCAGCGAGCTTGAGTACGAGGGTTCGGGCCTGCAAGTAAGAACCACAAGCTTAAAACGCAGTCTCAAGGGTTCTCCTGGGAGGCATCCCTTGCGCACGCGTCTCTCGTCTTCCAGGACAGGTGCCAAGATGCAGCTAAAAAGATCTGTCAGGTAATCCAGATTGCCACCACGTGAGGATGATGAGCGCAAGCAGGCTAGAAGCACGAGTATGGTGGGAAACGCCATGATGCAAGGATGTGACGGTCATTATTGGGATGGGGAACACGGTTGTGCTTGTGATGCTGGCGAGCGTGAAGGTCATGATCGCCGCGGTCGTCGTTGTTAAGGTAGTAGTCACAGCATCAATGACAGTGATTCCCATCCTTATGATGAATAGACACTCATGGCGGCCGTGGAAATATTGAGACCTGTAAGTCTCAATCCCACTCTCGGGAATGTTTCCGTCCAGGACTCCCTGCCAGATGGGCGCACGAGAGCCCAGAGGTGCACTGCAAGAAGTGCTAGACTTTAGCAGATGGGTCAGCCTCCGACACTCGGGATTTGCAAGTCGTGTTTGCAAGTCGTGTTTATGCAGGGGATATGGCCCTGGCCTCTCCTCCCAAGTCCCCGCAGGCCAAGGCCAGAGTTTACGCTGTGATGCCCTCTGCCATCTTCTCGGCCATGGTCCAAGAAGAACTCGCAGACTCTGACTCTGCACGACGTAAGACTGAAAGGGCAAGGAAGTAGAACTGCCAGCAGTGTCGTGGCTCGTTTCCTGTAAGTAAAAGAGCTGGTCTAGTTTCGAAGTTCTGCGTGCTGAGGTCGCCGGTTTGGCTGGCAAGTGGAGGCTCATCGCCTTGGCAAAAATGGGGTCACTTCGAGGTGACGCTGACCGTTTGGTTGCGCTCAGACGAAGGGAAAAGCAAAGCTTTGAAGAACCTCAACCCGCGTCCAGAGGCACATCTCACACATCTCCCCTGTGAGCGGAATGATAACTTGGGGATCCCGACATAGACCTGAAGTCTGGACTATTAAAAGCCTCAAGAAAAGGTGCATGACAAAAAGTCTGGGGAATGATGTCGCTGGGATCCGCACGGCCGGGAGGCTGGAGCGCCGGCTCCAGAGCTCGCGCCGGAGCCGCGGGGGCGAAGCAGAGGGCGGAAGCACGCGGCCCGCTGAGCCTGGGCCCGGCGAGGCCGGCAAAGGAGGGTCACACGAGGGGGTTTGCTTTTTTTCTGCGTTTCTGCTGACCTCCGGTGATTGTCTAACGGTTTGACTGGCAGGCTGCTGCGTGACGGTTTGATGTCGGTTGTCCCTGTTCCGAGAATCCCGTTGTCAAGATACGGTGCGAGTTTGAGCTGATGACTTTGGTGTTTCGAGTGATGCCGCTTGTGATGGCGATGCCGCTGCCTGTTCTATCTGGCTTCCTGTCTCGCGGATGTCGGCTCTGAAGCGAAGCTCGTGCCAAGCCGCGCCGCTTTCTGGACGAGCAGGCTTCGGAGGACGGCGACTTCCTGGCGGGATTCCGGGCGGCTCTTGGCAGTGCCTTGGCGGCTCCCCGAAGTGTGGTCGGCGCAGTGCTGTGCTGTGCGAGAGCCGCTTCCTGCTTTTGCAGGCAGAGAGGAGTCCCTTCACCAGGAGACTTGGGCCGTCCCCGAGAACTTCAGCAGTTCTTTCTCTGGCTTCGGCCAAGTTTTGAAAGCGATTCGGCCCAAGGGGCGAAGGGTTGAGGGACTACGAGTGGAGGAGCTGCGAGCCGTCCGCGAGCAACTCTCCAACGCGGAGAAGCGCATCTCCGAGGCCGCAGAGCACACGGTTCCCCCCAGAGCCTAAAGAAACCTAAACCTCAGAAGCCCCAGGCCCTCGCCTTAACCCTAAACTCTGAACCCCAAGCTCCAAACCCTGAGCCAAACCCCTTGGCACAGGTGGAGACGGCAAAGGAGACCCTGATCGATCAGCTGCGTCAAGCCCGGGAAGAGGTTGCCCGCAAGTGGAACTTTGTGAGAAAGTCTTGACAGTGTATCGATGAGAGACTGACTCAATCATGTTGAGGAGTTCTGAAATCTTGCTGATTTGAATGAACGACTGTGTGAATTGCTTTGGGTTTGCTCGGCTTAGTCCGCAGCTCGAATCCTTCGAAATTTGAAACCATCAAGCGAGACGCATCAGCGAGCATCAGAGCTCTGCCGTCCGCAAAGCCCGTAGATGCGTCCATTTGCGCTCTCTGCTTTGCCGGCATCTGTGGGCTTGGGATGGGATGGGTAGGTCATGACAGCCATTTATAGCACCACAGGAGAAGAGCCAATACCGTGTTTCATGAGACTGCCAAACTTAGCTTAGTGGAAGCCCTTATGGTTTCAAAGCCGTTTACTCTGAGGCTTTCATTCACAACTCAGAAGTGTTGAAGAAGCCTTTAAACCTTGAGCCCTGCCACGCTGCCCTGTGGCAATGCCCCGGCCAACCATGCCAGCGGGACAGCGGCTGCGGGCAGCACTGAAGCCGCCCGAGGTGCAGTGCTTGGGATTGACTCTTCGGGGATCTTGGTCTTCGCCCGCACCCCCCGAAAATGAATTGTCCTGTCTGTACTTTGCGCCGATGAACTCGTCAGTTTTTGTTTGGTCAGGCCGCTTTCGCGTTTGCGATTTTGGGTGGTGTAGATTTCGGAGCTACGTTGCACGCCTGCAGTCCTCTGCGACATAGTCGGCTTCATCCGCTTGACTGAAAAAGTGGTGTGACCTTTCAAAACAGTTTCGCAGTGTGCCTGTTTGTTCAAGGATGAAGCTTCGACGGCTCTCGCTTGCAGACACTCGCATCCTGCAGTTGCTGGTGCGAGCAATGTTCCTCCTCATAAATCGTTGTTACTGTTGCTGCTGCTGCTGCTGCTGCTGCTGCTGCTGCTGCTATACATGATTTCGCTGACCGAGGATGTATCAATAGATCCAAACTTCAAACCTCTTGCCATACAGCTGAGAAAGCCATCGCAGGTAGAGACACTCCGCGCTGAGCGCCGTGCCATTATTCGACCGCGCGAGGATGTTGAGGAGCTTGTCTGTGGCAGGATTCTTCACCACCACTACCAAATACAACACCGGAGTACCTTCAAGTAGTGTTAAAGCACATCGGTCACATGCCAGCGGGGCCGGGGTCCTGTTTCAAGCAACAATCAGATGAGTGCAGCAATTAAGGAGCCGCCACGACGGAAACGAACAGCCGAGGCCCTCTCAAGGAATTTGTACATCTTTTTGAGGGTCAGCGCGGGGTACGCTCACAGTTCTGTATTCTATTTGGCAGCGTGACTAATTACAGTGTCAGCTTGGCTGTGCCGATTCTGCCGCCTCAACTTGGGTGCAGTTGCGGCCGGCTGCGGACGACAGCGACGGGGATACCGAGGACGTCGTGATACAGGAAGGCATCGGGGAACACCAAGACAGCAGACAGCACTCGGAGAGCATGCAGGCTTGATGGGGATCTCAGACGTTAAGGGCCCATTGTATGAGAAGCACAGGCATCAGGCACCATGGAGCCTCCTCTTTGCGGGATTTGTTGACCTTGTCGGCTTTCCGTTTCAGGCTGCCGGTGCCTCCGAAGACATGGCAGATGTACATGCCAAGAGGATCAGGACCGGAGCCCTCAGATCAGAGCCTCTTCGAGTTGTCCTTCAAGTCCCAAGTTCCCCGAGCGAAGCAACTTGACATCATTAGCTGCGACAGGCAAGTGCATCCCGCAGATACATGGAAAACTGATGTCCGACTCGATTGCTTGACTTTATCGGGCAGGAGTGGTTGGACTCCAAGCGGCAGCGGCCGGCGAAATACACACCGCCTCACGCGAGGCCAACGAACGCGACTTCTTGGTAGATTGGAGATGGCAGTCTCGCTCCTTACATGCTCCTCTAACATATGTGCAAGAGACCTCTTGGGCGCTCTGGTCTGAGCAAGGAGAGCGGTGCTGCAGCCCGCCACCCCGGAGCCCCCCGGAGCCGAGCCTTCGAAATGCAGCTGCCTTCGGCGCCACGGCCGCTGCACCTGCCAGGCGCGGGCGAACGGGGGGGGGGCTCAGTGGCTCAGTCCTCAGATCGCAGGAGATGGTAAAGTTGGCAAAGCTTTGAGGAGCCCAGGGTTCATTGCAAGGCCTGAGAAGGTATCCCAAGTCCAGAGCAAGACCGCGCCCCTCTTCCATGTCTTTAAGGCGGATGACCGCTGGCTTCAGAAGAAGCGGCGCTGCCTCGCTCCGTACGTACCGCCCTTCCGGACGCTGGGGCCAGGTTTAGATCGCAGGGCCTAGATCGCAGTTGCGCGTTGCGATTTTATGATTGCTTGGGTCTCTTGGATCAGGAAAACCCGTGAGAGCGAGCTCGAGAGGAAGCGCCAGGAAATCGCAGCCAAAGCTGAGGCCAGGGACCGGCACGGGCGAGAGTGGAAGTTCTTTCCTCTTCAGCTTTAGGACAGGCTATGCATGTCTTGCTAAACTAACGGTTTGGGCAAGTCCCAGGACTTGTAGTTCCAGCTTGCACGCACGGCATGCGGCCTTGCAGCCGGTCTGGGCTGGAAGAGGGGCTCTGCAGGAAGGCGAGCCGGCTCCTCCCTTGGCGCCCAATATGCGAACCCTGGCGAGACGCTGGGCGCCGCAGCTCGAGCCACGTGGCACGAAGAGTTTTCCCAAGCTTCGATGTCGACGGAAGCCGCAAGAAGCCGCAAGAAGCCGCAAGAAGCACAGGAACATCGGGCGCTTCCGGTTCAACCCGCTGCAGATCGAGGGCAGCATCTTGCTGGACGAGCCCGGGACTGAGGCCGCTCTGGGCGCCTCCCGTTAACTTTGCTTTTGCTTTTGAGGTTTGGGGATGTTGATTACGGGTCGAGGCTCCTCAACTTCACCACTTCACCATCCCATGCTTGCTCTGTGGTCTTCAAGGGCTTCTGCTGGTGGACGCTCCTTTTCTGCTGCCAGGCCGAATGTACAGAGTCGGCCTTCAGATGCCAAGGGCTGAAAGCTTTGCCAGTGGTGCAGTCCGGGAGCTACCAGTTCGAGGCCAGGACCAGCATTGTACGGAGTGTGACGTCTAGGGCTAGGGCCTCTAGGGCATAGTGCGGCAGGTCGAGCTGCTGCGCAGTTGCCAGATTGCGGTGGGCTGGAGCGGTGCCATGTCCTTGGCCACGGCGTGGGATCACCAGGACCGGTGTTCTTTGTCATCCCCGCAGGCAGTTGCAGGCCTAGGGCCTAGATCCTAGGCAGCTCTCTGCGAGTTGTGCTCGCATGCGAAAGGCTTTCGGCTACTCCTCCGATGCGCGTGCCATCCACAATGGCGAGGTGCCGGGGTTCAGATCCGGTGGCCGTAGGCAGGCGACAGGCTTCCTGCAAGAAAGCAAGACTAAAGTCGGTTGGGCAAAGCAGGGAAGGAAGGCCCACTCGCCAGAGTGTCGGTTTCGATATAGTTCCTCCGCCCCGTGCGAGGCGGAAGAATTTGGACTTCCTTTTGGGCAGGCCGGGAGTTGTTGCCTTCCAAGAGGTCCCACGCTGAACGAAGCCGCTTGAGGCCGGAGACATAGTTGGAGCCACCGTGCGATGGGCCCCTCGGATTACAAGCGTGAACAGCAAAAAAGATGGGGCCCGGTGCCCGGTGCCCGGACTCGGAGCCTCGAAGCCTCGAAGCCCCGCCGCCTGGCACCGAGGCGAGAGGCTCTCAGGTGTCGATTTCCTTCGCGCTGAACGGGCGAGATCTGGGTTCGGCTCTCTGGAGTCCCCCGAACTTCCCCGTCATTGAAGTACAGTAGAGTCGGCTGAGAGATTGATCTGCATTTGCAGAGAAGGGCCTGCGTTTAGCCCATTTCGTCGAGTCGTGCCGAAGAGTTTGATTGCTTATGCCAGCAAGGGGCATCCCAAAGCAAAGCCCAAAGGGCCCAAAGCTCTCCAAAAACTCCAGCAAAGGCGTGGCTTTCGAGTTTGGAAGCGAGGCCTTGCCAGCCGGGCTGCCATTGTAAGCGATCCAGGACATGTCGCCGTTGTGAGCATGAGAGCATGGTGTGCACATATGTGCACGGTGTGCTGCTGTTGCCGCAGCTTGCAAGGCCGATAGGTCCGATAGGTTGCAGGTTGCAAGGCCGCGGCTGATCCTTCCCAAAAGGGCCTTTTTGCAAGTCTGTGCTGCGTCGGTTCTCGGCTCGGGCTCAAGGGGCAGTGTCATCGCACCCTGGCGCTCTGGCACTGCCAGCCTTCACTTGATTACAGGATCCGTGGGGCGTACCGGGTAGCTTGGGCTCTTGGCTGGTGCTTCCGATGAAAACTTCCGGCTGTTTTGTCGTGACGCCGGGTTTGCACTGGTAGCTTTGGGAGGAGAGGCTGGTAATTGAATAGCATTGAATGACGGCTTCGGACATGCCAGTCGAAGAGTTGAACGCACACCAGCCAATGCCGAGAAGGTCCTCGTGGACAGAGGGAGACTCTCAAAGAGTCATGTTGTCACATCTTTGTGCCACTTCCCCTTTTCCTGGAGTGCAGGATATCCATTCTTCACGCTTTGTGCGCTGGCGAGTTCCTCCCAGGAGGTGAGTTTCGGACCGGAGATCGAGGGCTGATTTGTTGTGATTCTTCTGATTGCACCGTCAGTCACTGGATTGAAGGAGCATGGCTGTTGCTGTCATCTTTGACGAAGGTTTTTCGGCAGAAAGGCTGAGGAATGCGGTGATTCGGAGATGTCGGCGGCATCTTTCCAACTGCAGCCGACAATCCTGCAGTAGAAAGATAGATTTGGTTTCACTCGTATTCTGTTCAAGTTTTCCTTCGACCTGATCTACTGCGAGTTTGTCGAGTTGTGGGGGGTGCTGTAATGAAATTTTACGGAGCGTCACATCTATCGCTGGTTTTTTGGGGTGATGCTTAAAAAGGCCCGGGCCCGTGTCTTTCAAAGGCGACGTCCTAGGCCCTGGGCCCAAGACGAGATAGACCTGACCCGATCTCCGCTGACCCAGAAGATGGCAGGCGA